CCTCACCCTCACGTGACCTCCTCACCATATGCTGAGATGGACCCCTCTCTCCACGGGAAACTGTTCCTGGAAACAATGGCTGCAGACACCTGGCTCCTGACACCCATATCCGCTTGGCACCATTGGAATCAACAGGTCTTCAACCTATGGTTACAGGGAACCTTCATTGATTTCCAAACCTGAAGAAGTCCACATCTACTCATCCTTACTGTGGGGAGCCCTATCAACCCTTTCCTCCCAATCCTCAAGCCCTCACTCCCTTCTCCGCCCCTGTTCAGCAGGAAGCAGCCAGAGAGAAAGCAACATCTACAACCCCATAGAGGAGAAAGGGGTGAATGAAGGGCCCCCACCAGTAAGATGGCAAACTTCCGGCTTCTCTTGGGGGGGGGTCCTCGGTTCCCGCCGGCGCCACCTGAAGCCCAATCACCTCTCGCTCCCCTCCCAATCCCAGCACCTAGCCAACAGCCACCAGCCCCGTAGAAGTGACACCTCAATCAATTCATGCCCCTTCCTATATAACCCAGCACCTTTCCCTAATAAAGCGGAATTCTCCGGTGAATTGCTATTGTATGTCGCTCGTTTTCTTTCAGGCCTGCCTGGACTAGTCCCCAAGCGTTTGCTCAAGGCTGCTTCCACCACTGTCCCCTCCTTCAGGAACTCTTCCTAGGCTCCCTTCCTGTGATACAATGAGTAGTAAGAAATATATATTTGGTCATGCATACAGTTAACCATTGTAATTTGAGTCAAAAAGAGTGAGATCTCAGCCCACCAGGCCTGCAGTCCTGAAGACACTGCAGTCTTGAAGGTGGAATGCGTGTTTTGTCATGTTAATGAACGATTTTTCGACCTCACAACCCAAGGGCAGGGGCTGGAGGCTGAATCAGCCAATAGCCAATAACTTAGTCAGTCATGACTATGCAATGAAGCCCTCACAAAACTCCTGAGAGCTTAACCCTCTGCTCGGTTGGATCCTGCTTACCAGTGTAAGAAATACACTCAATGGTCCAAATTCAGCAAGTGGACACGGAGACAAAGAGAACAGCGGAGCGAGGCTTTAATGACAGTCTTGCAGGATTGGGAGTCTGGTGGGCAGGCACACCTGGGGAGTTCGGCGCCAATAATTTATCTCCTAGTGCGCGAGTCCCTCCCCTGGTTCCTCATTGGCTGAGTACTACAGGGTTCACATTATTTCCCGGACGTCGCCTAAGCCAGATATATCTTTCCCTTACATTTGTCTTAATCTTATTGGTAGGTTTAAAAAACTCAAACAGGTATAGCCAGGACCTTATCAATTTCCACCCCCACTCTCAGCCTGAGCAGCTTCCACCACGTTGCTCCTTGTTAATATCTTACTGTTAAAATGTTTTAAACCTCCTACAAATTACATTTAGGTTTTATGCTGTTTTCTAATACCAGTCAGGGAACTTTTGTGCTTGAAGAACTTGAACGCCTCAACGTGCCACAGAACCTGGCCCCAAGCTCCACGAGGACAGAAAGCTCCTTTTTTTGGGACCTTGCCCCAAGTATCTTTTCATCTGGCTGTTAACTTGTATCCTTTATTAAACTGGTAAACTTTTGTTTTCCTGAGTTCTGTGAGCTCTAGAGAATTAATTGAATCCAAGGGGGAGGTTGTGGGGCCCTCCCATCTGTAGCCGGTAAATCAGAAGCACAGGGAACTGCCTGGGGCTTGTGACCAGTGCCTGGAGTTGGGGGGTGAAGGGCAGTCTTGCAGGACAGAGCCCTTAACCTAGGAATCTGGTGCCATCTCTGGGCAGAAAGTATCAGAATTGAGTTGAGTTCTCAGACACCCTGCTGGTGTTCAAGAATTGCTGGGTGTTAATGTATGGGAAGACCCTCTTTCACATTTACACACATTGGAATCGGGTCCGGGAACTCGAACAGTTATACTACTATTACTGCTGTGTATAATACTGTTATTGTTATATGTATCTGTAGGAACAAAAGACACCCTCACACCTCCCCAGGCATCATTCACAAACTGCCTTTGGAACCGACCTGTGTGCCACAGCCAGACCTCCCCCACAACACTCTGTGCCTCTGAGCCTCCCTATGCTGAAGAGGCAGGCTGCAGCCATTCGGGACAGAGACCCCCAGCCGGGGCACGTGTCCCAGCACACCCCTTGTATGGGCCTGCTAGGCCATAGACAACAGCCCACTGGATGCACACCTGCAGCTGCCGGGAGCTCATCACTTCCCAGCACACAGCTCTGACTTGTAAATTAACCATTGTAATTCGAGTCAAAAAGAGTGAGATCTTAGCTCAGCCCACCAGGCCTCAGGCTCACCCAGTCCCTTCACTTGCCCCGGAATCTCTGAAGAGTGTAACCGCTGGAGAACACAGCTTTAGTTTCCCTCCTCAGAGCCTGTTCGGGTTCTCATCACCTCAGCCTCTCCGTCTTGGTGACTCTGTCTCCAGCCCTAAGTCTGAGGGCCCCTTCATCTGAGCAGTTACTCTCCATGTCTGGCCCTCCATCCAGGTCTCTTTGTCTGCCCGTCCCCGCCCTGTCTCTACGGTCTGGGAGTCCAGTCTTTTTTCTATTCCCGGCTCTGTCTCTCTGCAACACCCACAGGGCCAGACATTCAGACAGGGGCCTTAGGTGGGGGGATGGAGAGAGGGGAGGGGGCTTAATTAAAGGAAGGCCATCCGTCCTCAGTAGAGAGAAAGTTGTTGAGTCTGCCTGCAACATCTTTAGAGGCTCCCCCACCGCTCCCTTCTCCATGGAACAGTTGGGAAACTGAGGTCTGAGCAAAGACCAAGCCCACGCTGGTTTCTGTGTGCAGCTGTGGACTCCTTGCTGAGCAGCCAGCCAGTGCAGTAGTAAGCAGTGGTCAGAAGAGGGCGCCAAAGATAAGCAGGAGTGGCCGTCAAAGCCAGAGCTGGCAGCCTGGGCTGGAGGGTGGGTTGGGGGGATGCTGTGGGGGACCCTGCCTTCTTCCCTCTGCTATGTGAGTGCCCCTCTCTGAGGATGTTTCCTTTCCAGGTATCAAGGCTGACTGAAGCCACACAGCAGGATTCAAATCCGGGTTTGCCTTTTGCTGGCTGCCGAGGTCCAGGCTAAATCACTCAGTGCCTCTGAGCCTCACTATGCTGAGGAGGCTGAGCTGTTTGGGAACTAACTAGGCAGGCTGTCTTGGGAAGGCAAACAGAAGCAGGGAGATAGTGAGGTCCCCATCACTGGAAGGATGTCTTCAGGACTGGGTGGTTGTCTGGGGCATAGGCTACAGATGGGGGTAAGGTGGGAGGACCATCCCTTTTCCCCTGACAGTCTGTGACAAACACACAAGAGGGCCCTGGAGCTGCTCCCAAAAGCAGAAACAGAGAGTCATTTGGCCCCAGCGAGGACAACATTCTCCCAGCCTCTCCAGATGGGCTGGGCCTGGGCAGGCGCCCTCTCTCTTCTCTGGAGAGTCAGGAGCGTGGCTCACGATGAACTTTTAGGCCTGTCCTGTCCCCAGTGGCACACCGCCAGTGTCCCATTAGAAGGGCTCTCAGCCTATGCGAGGTGGGAAAGGAGATGGCAGAGCTGAGGCCCCGGCGCCGGGAGGTTTTAGTTCTAACTGGAACTTGCTGCTGACTTGCTGGGTGAACTGGAAACCCCACTGTGCCTCTCTAGACCTCAGTTTTCCTCACAAACTCAAATGGGACTGCAAATGTCAAACTGGTTTATGAGCAGAAAGGAGGCAGAGGCCAAAAGGTATCAGGAGGCTGGGTCCTGGCCCTAGCTCCCCCTGACAGCTGCGAGGCCTTGGGGACCGAGTGAGGCAGAGGGAACCCTGCTTTGGATGCCGAAGTCCCCAGGGGGACCAGGGCTATGTGGTCACTGTTTGGCCTCCTGGTCAGCCTGCTCTGGGCCCCAGTGAGCAGTCCTGGTCTGGTCCCACAGCAAAAATGAGGATATGGAGCCCAGCAGGGCAGGGGCCTCAGAAACAAATAGAAAAGTCACACTGGGGCTGCAGGGGACCTCCAAACCCCAGCTGGGGACCTCTAGACCCCCAGCAGGGGCTGAACTCACTTCAGTGGCCCTGGAGGAACCCTCTGCAGAGTCACTGTGAGTGGGCACGAAGCCGCCCAGAAAGGGGCACACACATCAGACACCCAGCCACCTCAGCCACTAGCCATGCATATATGTGAGTACCCAGCCGCAGCAGCACACCTGGCAGCCATACCCATTGGACACACACCCAGACACACGAGGGCATGCGTACCCACACCAAGCTCTGGGTACAATACACACCCACACACACACCACATAAGCATACACATGTGCAAGCCCCCTGCCAGGCCTGTCTCACTTCCCAGGACAGCCAGACTGATTTCAGGAAGATGGCCTTTATGTGGCCTCCAGAACAGTCAGTCTGCAGGGAGTCCCACTCCGCTTCTGCCCCTGCACTTCTGGGACAGCGAGAGAGGTCCCAGGATGCCCGGAAAGGAGCTGCTATCCCTGAGACCAGAACTGGCCTCCAGCCTCTGCCTGACATGCCACCACGGAGGCCCCACTAAAGTTTCTTCGCTTCAGGGGTCCTGAATATCTCAGGATACCTCTAATTTGGCAAGGGCAGGTGGGAGCAGGGCCTGTCTTTCTCTGGCCTGTAAATTGGGGTGTAGCATCCATCTCAGTAGTAGCCTGGCTTGGCAAGAGGTCAGAGGGCAAAGGACTCTGGCTGTGGCTAGCCAAGGCCCTGGCCTCCAGCCACTCACCACTTGAAGGGATGGTTAACAGTGAGTTAGTTCGTCTGACCCAACGACTTTGCTTCTTGTTCACCATACGACCTAGGGCAGGGCTTCTACCTCAGTGTCTCCATCCTGACAGTGAGTAGCAGACTTCCTCCTGAATACCACCGTGGTTTGTCAGGAAGGATGACCTCCAGTGGAGTGAAAGAGGGGCTCCGCGGGGTCGTGGGAGGCAGCCCAGAACCCGGAGGACAGGCTCACTTGGGGGATGGTGCAAGAGGGTGGTGGGGAGGGGGCCCAGACTCACCCAATGACGTAAACCAGAACCACGAGCTGGATCAGGCGGAAGACGACGCCCACCTTCTTGTTGCGCACGAGCACCATTCGGGGAGTGTCATACTCGAAGAAGAAAGCAGCCAGCTCATCCTGGAGCCTCCGTGCCATGGTGGACCAGGCTGCGGACTGAGAACTGAGCCTTTGCTCTGGAGGTGAGCCAGGTGTCAACACCCACATCTACAGAGGAGCTTCTCTGGCCTTCCCAGCCCCTTAGGAAGGGCAGGTAGCTGGGGCCAGAGGCCAGGAGTCAGAGGTCAGTTGAAGGTGCTTGGGTTGGGAGGGAGAATCCTTGGGCGGTCAGAGCAGCTCTTGGCCCCTGGCAAGCAGTGAACTGTGGGCCAGCCGCGCCTGTGGACAAATAAATTCCCAAAGATAGATGGGGGCGGGGCCGGGGGGGCCACCCAGGCCCGGCCCCACTGCCCCTCCTCGCTCTGCCTGGGCCCTGCCGGGCCTCCGGAAACAGGAGCTGTTGGCAGGAAACCACGGGCCACCCGTCATAAGGCAAAGATAAGGCTGTCAGCCCCCCGTGAACCTAGAAATACAGAGCTGGGGGCTCGGGTCAGGGCCTGGGTGGAGTGGCCTCAGGCCAGGGCCTCCCCAACCAGGGACCCATCCCTGTATCCAAACATCCTCCCCGCCTTACCTCTGCCCCCAGGTGGGCAGCTCAGACACTGGGGGCCTGCAGCCAGGAGGGCAGGAGAGGAAGGAGGGCTCTTTCCGGTCCAACTGCCTGACACTCCCTGGGTATGTGGCAGGAACCCCCCCAACGTCCTCATAGATCACCTTCCACCCACCCATCCCTCTGAGTCCCAGCCTGGCCTGTACCCAGTCAACCCCAGCATCACACTCCATCTCCATCCCCCTGCCTCTCCTGTCCCCCCATCTGCCCTGTCCCAGCCACACCTCCCTCTCCCCAGAAGGAGCAGAGAGGAAGCAAGTGCCAGACGAGGCACGAGTGGCACCTGTTACACATTCCCATCCGGCTCCCGGAGGCCCCGCCAGGAAGGCCTGACTTCAGGCCACATCCTCAGTCCACTGGCTCTGCCACTGCTACCTGTGGGGTATGGGGTTTGGGTGGGCTCCCTCACCAGTCTGGGCCTGCTTCCTCATCTTTGAAATGGGGACAATAATGGGACTTCCCTCAGAGGCAGAGGCCCCAAGGGGTGGGTCCAACAGTGATGAAGACAGACAGAACTTGAGGCCACCACTGATCTCGGGGTACAGCCCCCTGCAGCCCGTCCTCAGTCCCAATCCAGGCCCTGAACACAGTGGTGTCTGGATGCTGAGGTGCAGCAGGGGTCCCATGCTAGTCCTCAGAAACCTAGAGCTAGAGGGTGCCCCTAACACCCTACTTTGTTGTGCAGGTGAAGGAATGAGCTCAGAGAAAAGAAATTAATTGCCCACGCTCACCTGGGTGGTACTGAAGGCTCCAGCTCCAGGCAGGAGGCCTCCCTGGCTGGCCGTCAGCCTGGGCTGGGTGTACATTCTGTGGCTGTCTCTGGATGTGGGAAGGTTGGGTGTCCTTGGATTCCCCCCATCCAAGCCACCCCACCCTAAAGGCCAGCAGGGGTCTTCTTGCTGACTTGTAGCTGGAAAATCTCTCTTGACATGGAGCCAGGCCTCAGCAACAGGAAGCCCAGGCACCCGTCTGAGCAGAGCTGCTTTCTGGACAGCAAGGGGCCCCCACAGAGGGCAGGCCCATGGCCCCTTCCAGCACCGCCACTCCCCTGCCCCAAACAGATCAGCTCCATCAGTCTGAGGCTCAACTGCCTGTCTAAAACCATCGTCAAGAGGGGCCAGCAAGAACAATGTCCTGGGATTTTTTTAAGGAAAACTCCAGAGATGCTGGGAGCAAGAGCTGTGGTGGCTACATCCCCTCAACCTGGACTTGGGCTCCACAGGGCCCATCCCCTTCCCAGCTGACCCCATGGCCCCTGGGATAGCAGGCCTCAGGACGGGACTGCTTGTGACGGGGAGTGGGGTGGATGCTGGCACTGTCTGAGCCGCCTCTGTGTCCTACTCCAGCGACATTTCCAGAGGACAGGTGCACCACGTTCAGGAGGCAGCAGGCACCGAGTGAGTGGGGAGGGGAAAGAGAAGGGGGGAAGGGAGGTCAGGCAGTCACTCTGCGATCTGTTGGTCCTTTTCATCGCCGTCACCATGATTTCCTCCTCCTCCTCCTCCTCCTCCTCCTCCAAGGAGACAGGCTTGCTGACAGACAGATGGACCAATGGACTGATGGCCTCCTCTGCCTGGCTAAATTTGGTGGCTCTGTGGAGCATGGGGAAACACATGTGCATCCTGGAGGCCAGCCCTCAAGGGGGTCTTCAAGGGGGTGGACACAGGCTCTAGTGGGTCTCCTTAGCCACTCAGACAGACTTGCTGGGGGCACACAGAGATACTCCTGTTATGGCCTCAGTTCTGACCCTGACGCCCAGAATACAGACTGGCACAGAGGACTGTCTCATTCGGGGTTATCCTTTCCAAAGCATACCCAAAGGAAAAAGAAATAAAAACAATTGCACTTCCCTTCCCAAATATTTTCTTGCTAATAATTCTGCAAGAGTGAGGCAGGCTGCTGATAGGGCCAGTGTCTCTTTCACGGGCTCTAAATGCACCTTTCCGTCCTAGGTCTATCCCTTCCTGCCCTTGGCCCCAACTCCAGCATCCTGGGGGATGGACCCCGTGACTATACTAATGGGGAAGGCTCTGGGGAAGGCAGGGTGAGCAGGGCAGGGGTCAGAGTCTACAGGGGACACAGTACATTCACAGTTGGCAGGTTTTCTTTAAAATAGTCCTGTGAGGTAGGTACTAGAAGAAACCCATTTTACAGATAAGGAAACCGAGGCTCTGGAAGTTGAGTGCCTTGTCCACAAGTCACACAAGTAGCTTCCATGTCTGCTGGTGGCTGGGAAGGAGGCTCCCCAAAGTCTGAGAGCTTGGCTGAGAGCCTACCCTGAGACTCCAGTCCTCAAGAGCTGCCAGACCTGCCTTATAAGCCCAAAGGCCGGGTGGCCTGCTCCGGTACTGGGCCAGGCCTTGTAGGGAGACGAGGAGGTGCTGCCAAGCACTCGGCCCCTGGACAGCCTCCTCTGCTTGGCTAAATTTAGTGGCTCTGTGGAGTGTGGGGGGCCTGTGCCTATCCTGGAGGCCAGCCCAGGCCCCCAAGGGGGTCGGCACAGGCTCCAGTGAGTCTCCTTAGCCACTCAGGGTCCCCAGGCTGCAGAGCCCATGCCTCTGCCTCCAGAGGTGTTTGGTCCAACCCCTGGCACCATCCGGGCGTCCCTCAGCGCCCAGGGACTCACCAATGCCACACAGCCCCTCAGATGCCGGCTGGAACAGGGCCCTGGGCCACTATACCAGAGACTGTCTAGGGGAGGTTAGGTGGGGGGCAGGCATCTATGGGGAGACCACAGGAGAGCTGGCTTTCCCCGTTGCCCAGATCTCGCAGTGCTTATCTGGCCTCTTCTGTCCTCCCATGACGGCCAACGACACAACTGGAGCCCCTCCTCCTGAGAGTCTGGGCCATCACACTCTGCTGGTTCTCCGTCATTTTGCGCCATTTCTTCCCGTGCCCAGCCTCTTCCTGCCCCTGGAACGCGGGCATTCCTGGGGACTGGCCTAGGCCCTGCTCCTCAAACAGGGGGCACCCCTGGAAGACTCGCCTCCTCCCTGCCTCCTGATGATGCCAAGACCTGTGCACCCACAAGGCAGCCTCGTGCCTACCCACCTCCTCTGGCTCTTACCTTCTTTGTTTTCTTTCTAACTCGAATGGCATTGAAGTAAAATTTACATACAACAAAATGTGCCCACTTTAGGCACAGTCTGATGAGTTTTGACACATGTCTGCAGCCACCCCCCAATCCCTCATCCTAGTATGTTCCCTCCTGCCCCTTGGCTGTCAGTCAGTCCCCAGCCCCCAGCCCCATGTGATCACTGGTCTGCTTTCTCACTGCAGAGCTGGTCTGCCTTGTCTAGAACTTCGCGGAGGTGAAATAGCGCAATGCGAGCCCTTTTTGTGTCTGGCTTCTTTTACTCAGCACAAGGGTATTAAGCTTCAGCTGTGCCATTGCATATATGGTCTGTTTGTTCCTTTTTATCGCTGAGTATTCCGTTACACGAACTGCCACCATTTGTTTATCTTTCCCGTTGGACATGTGGATTGCTTCCAGTTTGGGGCCATGATGAATAAAGCCGCCAGATGGTTGGGTTCAGGCCCACGGTGTAGATGTGCCTTCAGTTCCTGGTTTGGCCCCTCCATTTCTCCCACCACGGCCCTGTGAGTGGGACGTGGGGGACCTGGGGAGCAGAGAGTCCTGGCCTCTGGAGGGGCCAGGAGGTGGCCATGGGCATTTTGGCAGCTGCCGCGGCTGAGCTAGTGAGAAGTGTGCTGGGGCTTGCCCTGGAACTCCCTCCTGGGCGAGCAGCTGTGAGGTAGGAAACCTCTGTTTACCTTGGCCGCTTCATCTTGGCCTGTTGGGTCTCACGCTGTGAGCCGGGCAGGCTGGACTCAGGCAGGCCTGGGTGGCAGTGGAGGCGGAACAGGCCTGGCCCGAGCCCCAGCAGTTGCCTAGAGCACTGAAGCCAGCCTGCCTCCTGCATAAGCCCCCCGGCCCATCTGCGTGCCCTGCCTGCCCACCAGGTGGCCAGCCTGAGGGCCTCAGGCTTACCTGTAAAATGGAGCTCGAACCCCTGTCTGGTCCATCTCACGGAGCTGGTTGAGGCCTTGGGGAGGAGTATGAAAAGGTTCTGTGGTCTGAGAGGTCTTACAGAGGGACTAAGCAGAAAGGAAAAAGCCTCTGGCTGTCCCTGGCTCCAGCTGTTGGCTATGCACCAAATCCTGTCCTAAAACCTGGGAGCTCCTAAGGTTATGGCTGCCTCCTCCCATCACAGCTCACCTCACAGATGTGTGTGTGACCCGTGTGGCTGCACAGGGCCCCATGCAGTTGCTTTATGGCTCTGCTGTCACTGCTATGAAGTCCTATTTTTGAGCAAGGAGCTCCACATTTTCTCTCACTTTGCACTGAGCCCCACAAATCATGCAGTCGGTCCTGCCTCTGGCCCTGCAGGCAGGGCTGGGCTCCCCTTCCGGGGTAGCTGGATAGAGGATTACATACAGTACTCCAAGAGTGGGTTTCCCTCCAAAGGAGAGAAAGGAGGGAAGAGGGGACAGAACAGTTGCCTTCTCAGAGCCCCTGCTCCCAGACGACAGAGCCACCTGGGCAAGCCAGGAGCAAATGCCCGGCCGGCCCCCAAGGCCCCCAGACAGTGTGAGAAGGGGAGCTTTGGAGCGGTGCATTTGAGCTGGGCTCAGAAGGGCAAGTGGTTGGGTGGCATTCTAAGGTTCAAGGAGTGGGGGGGGGGGGATTGTGTGTAACAAGTAAGAGAGGAACCTCAGGGAGAACACAAGACCCACAGCACAGCCAGGGCTGGGGGCCCTCTGTGGGGTGCAAGGGGCCTGATACTGAGGATCCAAGCCCAGCCCTACCCTGGGCCAAGTCATGAACCCCTCTCCCAGCGTGTTTTCTCAGTGGGGACATGAGAATCATTAATATGAGCAGTGGGGTCCCACCAAATGCACTTGGTGCTGTCTCTCAGGGGCAGAATCAGGCCTCGCCATTTGGGTGTGGCTCGGGAAATCTGGGCCTCTACAGGTCTTGCCTCAAGGAAGGCAACCATCCCTGCTTGGCAATGTGGGGTGAGAGCCCCAGGCCTTTGCCCCCATTTCTGGGGGTGGGGTGGGCGCAGGTGGTGAGAGGCCAGGTAGACACAGAGGCAAATGGCAGGACCACTCTCCAGGGAAACAGACGCTAACAGTCCTCTGTCGCCCTGGGCACTCGGCCTTTATTTCTCTATCAAACTGCATGTCAGCAGGTGGGGACAGGGCCCTGCCCCCTCCCCGAGCAGGAAAGAAGCTGAGCCCCTCTGGGGCAGCAGGGGAGACCCACCCAGAACCTTTGAGGTGGGGGACGGGAAGGGGCCACAGAACCTAGAGCCCATTTGTCTGCAAGGCAGGGAGGGGGGCTTTCGGTTCTGGGGACCAGGACAGGGATGTGAGTCTTTAATTTCCACAAAAAACAATCACTTTGTACCCTTTCTAGGTGCGAGAACACAGTCATTGACTGTTTTCTTCTGTGTCTACTTTTTGCCAAAGGGGCAAAACCTGAGTTCAGAGACCATTTCTGTCCATCAAATCCTTTTTCCTGTCATCTGAAACGATCCACATGGACTCATTCCTCCAGCAAGGAGAGAGGGAGAGGACGTGCCCTTGGGTGGTCAGCCATTCTTAGGGACATCCCCTTGGTTCACGGGTCTGTGGGCTCAGGCATGAAGAGTAAGCCCCCAAGTGCAGAGGATTCAGAATCACCTAGCCGTGCAGACCGAGAGATGACCACGCACTGGGATGGGCCGGAAGGGCACGGTGGTCAGGAACCCAAGGACATCTGGGGTCTCAGGCACCAGGGACACAGAGGGCAAATTGGCCTCTGCTTGGCAGAGCAGACAGCACCAAGACTCGGCGCATGTCATTTGGCTAGGACAGGGAAGCCTAGGCGCAGGGGTGAGCCGAGCTGAGGCAGGTCAGCTCTCTGACCCCTCCATCCCCAGCACACGTAAGAGGCTCAGGCCCTCAGGAGCCAACTTTGTGGAAGCTGAGCAGAGTCGGGGGGCCTGCCTGCCCTCCTCGCGGTGCACAGCTGGACCCAGATGTCCCCTCTCCCACCCCCAGCTGACCAGGCTCCAGACCAGGCACTGAGTGGGAGGTCAGAGCTGGGGAGAGCAGCCTCCAGACGCCCTCCATCAGTACATAAATGCCCAGCTTCTGAGCATGGGGAGCAGGCTCCAGAATGCTTGTGGGTCTGAGGGCAGAGGGCTTGGCATCTCTCCATCTCCTGCCAGCTCTGGACTCTGGGCAGGCCCCTGCTGGCTCCTGGGCCACTGCTCCAGGGAGGAACTCGCAGGGAGAGTGCCAGAGACACGCAGTACACAGCCCCCAGGCAGAGGGAAGCAGGGAGAGAGCCCCCGGCCTGGTCAGGGGGTTGGCTGTCGCCTTGACAGGGCCCAGTGAGCAAGCAGGCGAGCGTGGTGGCAGGGTGGGGAGTGGGGGCGAATGCTTGGGCACCATCAGGCTTAGGTGTACACCACAGACTCCACTGCGCCGCTGACACTCACTGCTTGTTCTTTTCTTCTGGAAGAAAAACACGAGTATGTATGTTACGTTGTGTGTGTGAGAGCACACATCCAAGAGGCTTCCTTCCAGCCCTCCCTCAGCCGTCCGCACCCTCCATCCCCCCAGGCCGGCCCCACTCTCCAGGCATCACTCAGCCGTCCCCTGGCTCCCTGCTCCCTGTGCTGCCCCTTGATGACCCCCATCCTCCTCCACTCCATGCATCCCACCAGTGGCCCGGCCCCCGGCTCACCCCAGTGTAGTCTCCTCCTGGTTGTCACTTTGGGGAGCCACCACCCAGCCTTAGGAAGTCCAGAAACCCAGGGCATCACGGACCTGTTGCCCATCCCACCCAGCCGGGCCTGCTGATTTCCCCACCTGCACCTCTCAAGCTCACTACCAGTTCCTCCCCGGCCCAAGGCCTCAGCCCTGCCCTCAGCCCCCATCTCGCCTCATGATCACCCTCCTGCCCCTGGCATCACACTACATTTCCCCCTGCCATGGCTCCCACCTGCCCGCAGAATAAAGCACCTCACATCCTGGACCCTCCCATATCTGTCCCTGCTCAATTTCTCCAGGCCTCCCTCCACTCTACCTGGCCAACAGGCCTCTGCCTGACAGTGGCTCAGCGGCACCTGGGCAGAGCCAGGTGAGGCAAGAGGACCTCCAGCCCCCTGGTGCTGACCCAGCACCCACAGATACCCTCAGGAAACATCCCTCATAAATCATGGGGAAGACAGGAGCATCAGGCTTTTGCAAAACTTCCCTAAAAGGCAACCAGGCTAGTTTGGGAACTTAACAGAGCCCCCCTCTCACCCCGCCCGAGGGACTGCAGTGCATGTAGCAGAGCTGTCTGGGCTTCAGTAAGCTCACTCCACTCCGCTCCTTACATGTGGCCACAGATGCCCAGCCTGTGCCCGTCCTGTGGGCCCCACAGCCCCTCCTGATAGCAGGGCACCACCCTTTCAGACCAGGTCTCACGAGGATCATAGTCAACATCTCAGGTTAATGGTGGAGGTGGAAGTGTTGCATGGGACTAGCCCATCCCGGCTGAGACTCAGTGTCAACCTGCAGCCGGCTCAACGCCCTCACCACCTCCCTGCCTTTGGTCCCACCCCTCCTGACTCTCTCCTCCATGCTTACTCCCGGTCCGCTGGTGGCTTCTATGGCTGCACCCTTCTGCAGCTCCGAGGAGTGTCCAGGGTCTTTACCTTGGCATTCAAGGCCCCTGCCATGCTCTGGCCTCACCACTCCACCCCAGCCCAGCTGAGCCAGGATAGGCCAGCACCTCCCCACCAGGCTCAATCCTCCCCACTGAAACCTCTGCTCATACCCCACCCCTTCCAGAAACCATCCCCAACCACCCGCCCAGCAGGGATGGCTCCCTCTCCAGGCCTTCCAACCTGCCCCATCCTGCCAGGGGCCCCCTGCCCCTCCCAGGCCTGAATCCTCCATCATCTAACAGCCAGTGCTGAGCAGGGCCCAAGACACAGGCTTTCCCCACTGGCTGAGAAGTTTTCTCACTTAAGCTTTTTCAGGAAGATATGCAGACCTCCTTGGCAGTTGTGGCTGCTGGGGAAGGCTCTCAAGGAAGACAAGTAAAGCTGCCTGAACTGTCACATCCTCGGGAGGCCTGGCTTGGCAGGTGAGTTAGTGTGGTCAAGGTTGGCCAGAGGATTTCCTGGTAGATCCCTAGGCTCCTGGCTCCCACGGATGGAGCTTCAGACAACAGACCCACTTCCCCTTCTTTACCTCCCAGGAGTGTCCACAGAGGATGGACACAGGGTAGAATGTCTTATCTGGCTCCCTCCACCCCACCCATGGGCTCCAACAGGCCTTGCTTTGGCTGAGCACCCTCCTCCACCCTCAGATGAGCCCCTGCTATGTGTCTGGACAACCTTTGAGCAGACCTGTAGTGGCCAGCTTCTCCAGAGACAGGAGGCCAACTTGTTTTCTCATTTTTAATAGAATAAAATATTTGAGGCACCCGGGAGGGATGGCCAGCGTGGGAGATGGGGGCTGATTGATTGCCTTGGCCCCTGTGGAATGATAGGCATGTGATCTATTTATAACCCCTCCACCCCCAGCACCCTGTCCTGGGACCAGGGCACATTCCTGCCAGAGGTGGCCCTCAACTGCTCTAGCACAGGCCTCAGCCATGGTGGGGCCTGACCTGGGCCCTCCAGAGTGGCCTGGCCACCAGGCAACTGCCTTGGCTCAAACTCCCAGGAGCCAGGAGTTTCTCACCCCTGCATCCCCCCTCTCTCAGCTCCATCGGTGAGCCTCGCCCTCCTTGTCCCTGGGAAGTTTGGAGTCACCCACTCTCTGAGGACTGCTCAGAGGCAGGCGATGGCACTGTGCCCCAGCCTGCACCCTGCGATTCTGTCCTCCAGTCCTGGGTTAAGGCAGACCCAGAGCTGTTCTCAGAACAGAGAACCCTCCCACTTCCACTGGCCCACAAAGTGACACCAACGAGGCCACCCTGGTCTGGTCTGGGGTCTGGCCCACTCCACATCTGAAGACTGACCTGAGAAAGCCTGGATAGCAGGCGGGTTCAGAGAAATCAGAGGCCACAGCCCAGAGGAGGGCACAGCGGGCCTGGCCACGCGGAGCTGGTGGCAAGTGGGGAGAGCGAGGCAGTGTGGCCCTGAGCAAGCCCAGCAGACCCAGGGTCCCTGCAGAGACCACGGGTCACAACCACCAGTGCCCCTTCATGTCTCCACTGGGTGACCCAGGAACACTCCCTGCTCTGTACAGACCGGGAGGCCGAAGCTTGCACCAGCCCACTGCCACCTGGGGGCAGAGGCGGCAAGGATGCAGGACGGGGCGAGCAGGGCAGGGAGGATCCACCTGAGGCCGCCCACTCACCATGCATGTGGTTCCGGGACAGGTACTTGAGGGCCTCGTCAAGCAGGATGACAGGCAGAGATATCTGGAGCACCACCACCCACTGGCGCCCACTCAGTGGGGTCACCTGGAAAATAAGCTGGAGGAGGGGGGTGGTTAAGGGCTGCTGAGCACCCCCTGCACGTCCACCCACTTCATATACTCGGGCGGCAGTGGACCCCTCATAAGCACGCCCAGGATGCCCCTACAGGTCTCACCTTCAGATCTTTGCCCACCTTGATGCCTCTGCCTGAAGTGCCCGACCCTGTCCTCCCTCAGGAACCAACCCCACCAGTCCTGCAGGGAAGCCCGCAGGGAGTCTGCATAGGGAAGCACATCGTCCTTCCCCCTGCCCAGCCTGGGAGAGTCCCAGAGCAAGGGGTCTCCACCTCTTCTGTTCCCCATGTCTGGGGGCTCCTGAAGGTGGGGACACATCTGGAGGATGGCAGCCGGCCAGGGTCCAAGCACAGGCCACACACACGGAGCACCTTCAAGCCTCCCCACTCACGTCTGCAGGCGGCTTCCATGGCCAAGGGAGTGTCAGAGGATGTTTGGGACCCAGGCAGCCCTGGAGCTGGAGAGGGGGTGGAGCAGGGCAGTGACTCACAGGCAGGGGCGGGACAAGCAAGATGAGGAAGTGCAGGGCCATGGACATGGCCACTGCCGCCAGCAGCCAGGGGTTCAGCCAGGGTGGCATCCGCAGCAACGACTGGTTCTCCGAGACGCTGCCAAGGGCACAGGGTGCTCATCTCAGGTCAGGACGTGGGCAGGCCCTGCTGTGAGCACCCATCCGCTCCATGTGGAGCTGCACCTCCCTAATTAGGCCTGCAGGCTGGAGCACTCCTGGGAGGCTGGTGCAGCCAGGGGGGATGTGTCACTGCTGTCCACTCAGCCCCACTGGGGCCCGTTCTAGAGTTTGGACCCCCTTTCCACCCCTCAGACCTAATTCTTGGTCCCTTTCTATCTTTAGATCCCAATCTTGGCCCCCTTTGTCCCTCGGATCCCAAATTCTGGACCCCTCTGACCCTCAGACTCCATCCTGAACCCCCCAGCACTTAGACTGCACTCCTGGACCTTCTGACCCCAATTCTGGGCCCCAACGGACCCCCAGTCCCACTCTTAGGCCTCGGCCTCCATCTATCCTTCAACCGCAGCTCCAGGCCCCTCTGCCCAGCCCACCTGTTGAGGGCGTTGCACATTTCAATGGTCACCAGCACAGACAAGGCCATGGTCGTGGGGAAACGTGACTCGAAGACCTCACAGTCAATGTCAGCAAAGAGTGGATTGTCCTGGGAGCACTTCAGGAAGTTCCTCTGAGAGGCCAAGGTGGGGTGACGGGTGGGGTAAGGAGAACCGTGGTCAGGGGAGGGGCTGGTGCATGGGGAGAGGGAAGCCTCACTCCACCCTCAGCCCACAGGTGAGGGCCCAACACCACCAGTGGGCGAAGTGCTGTGCAGTGTGGGCCCAAGGAATGGGGCACCCAGGATGGGGGCAGGAGGCTGCCCTGTGTCGGTGGAAGGGTACCGTTCCAGGCAGGGGCATGATGGGACAGAGGTAGAGCAACTGGAGTTAGGATGGGGAGAAGAGCAGGGGATCCTCGAGATCAGGGGTGGGTCCAGGCTTTACTCTGAAGGTGCAGGAGGTTCCCTGAGTACCTGAGGGCAGGAGTTGGGGGTGGCTAACAGACCACTGAATAAGTAAATCCATATGAAACCAATGAGCAGATTATGCTTGAATAGAATCTGCCTTTGGTACATAGACAGTGAAGGCTACATGTACCCTATTTACTGTTACTAAATAAGGTCCCATTCATATCTCCCTCCATTTCTGTTACTGGAATTGAGCTCTACCAGACCTGCCTTTTGCTTACGACTTGGACTAATGAATTGCCAGGCCGACTTATTACACTCCTGTTGGCCCACATTGCTTAAATACAGGTAGGGTGACTGTTGACCAGAAGGGGGCGCCAGCACTTTCCTCTTCTCTCTCACTTAGGATGAACCATTACCCAAAAGTGGTCTTGGCTAGATTTATATCAACAAAAAGATGCACTCATTTCATTTAAATAAACAGTGGGCTTTTCTCCAAAAATTAAGCTCCAGGATTTGGGACATGTGCACATATTTTTAGTTGGCACTGATCACAGAGCAGAGAAAATGTCCTAAACTTTGAATCTAGCCAGTGACCAAGAGGACCCAATGCTCCTGCCAGTTAGGGCCACCACTGTCAGGCCCCACCTCCCAGATCCTACTCATGTGCGTGTTTAGATCCTCGTGCATGTGCACGCGGAGGAAAACACAAAGAGGATGACATCAATTAGTTTCAATAGATAAATGCCCTGCCCATTCAGACCTGGGTCTCACCAGTGAGCACCCGATGCACACACAGTATGTCCCAGGTCACGGGTCGCAGTGTGGCCTCCTGAATTGTTTATGTGAAGGTGCTCGGGGCTGGAACTTCTGTCTCACAGGTTCATCACGAGTCCCGTGGTTGGGGGAGTGAGCCTGTTTCTCTGGGTGATGCAAGTTTTACCTACTCCTTCCCTTTGCTGCCATGGCTCTTTCCTATTTACCTTCTCCTTTAAGGCCTCCTCTGGTTTTCATGAATTTTAATTAACACTTACATAGCTCTTACTATGTGCCAGGTATTGGTTTAAGGTCTTTACAAGTATTGACTCTATTAATTCTCTTGAGGGCCTTATGAGGCAGGGATTATTACCCATTTTACAGATGAGGAAACCAACAGAGAGGTTAAGTAGCCTGTCCAAAGTCACACAGCTAGCGTGGAACTGGGGTGTGAACCCAGGCAGTCTGGATCTAAGTTCTATGCTCTGTTTCTTAACCACTCTGCTGCCATTTGGCAGTTTCCTTCAGGAACCACCCACTGGGACTCTGAGCACCTCTCCTGAAATTCCAACAACTAGAGCTGGAAGTTCTACCTCTGGTCTAACCTCTGACACCTCCAAGTCCCACAGCCATCTACCTTTTCTTTGCTGAAGTGCCCCTCCCCTTGAAATGTGACTGCCCGTTTCCCTGGCACTCTTCTCACCAGACCATAAGCTCTGCAGAGACTGCCTGCTGGGTCCAGGCCCAGCCCTAGTAATTGGTGCCTGGCACACAGTCCGGGCTTGATAGCTATTTCTTGACCAAGTGGTTAAATGAGAACTGGAATGAGCTGAGGACAGATGGGAAGATGGCACCAAGGGGACCAGGGACTGACCGGTTAGGGGTGCCCAGCATGAGCCCAAGGTGTCTGGGTGACCAGGCAGGGATTGTTTGGGAGAAAGGTGAGAGATTTGACTTTGGGCTCAGGGAGCGCAAGGGGCCTTTGGGGCTCCCAGAGGATGTATCCAGCTGGGTACGCAGACTGGGCCCAGAAGAAAGGTCGGGTGGGCGGAAGTCCCTGGAGACTTGGGATCCATAGATAAGTGTGGTAACAGAGACAGCATCAAGAGAAGGCAGCAGTGGGTAGCGCATCCTACTCTCCACCCCGCTGCCTCCATGGGAGGTAAATGAGCAGAGGTGACAGAGGCTGGCATGAGCCTTCTGCCCAGGCCAGGCAGCAGCCTTTGGGATGAGAGCCCGGGCCCATGCTCTGCACTGCTGCCAGAAGGGAGAGCCGCTGGGGCCTGAGAGTTCTGGGTGCCAGGGGCGGGCTCTGCCTGGCTGTGAACCCCGAGAGAACCCTGCGATCACCAAAATCACAGCCTCCCCAAGGAGCACGCAGGCAGGCGACCAGCCCTCACCCACCCTCAGGGCAGACCCCAGGTGCTCCCAGGGTGGGGTAGAGTCAGGATCCCTCCCTTGAGCTCTTTCATCTACCAGAAGGCAACACTGGCAGGCGTACTCAGAGGAAGGAAATCCTGCATCCTGGCCACTTGCAGGCGACCAGCCCTCACCCACCCTCAGGGCAGACCCCAGGTGCTCCCAGGGTGGGGTAGAGTCAGGATCCCTCCCTTGAGCTCTTTCATCTACCAGAAGGCAACACTGGCAGGCGTACTCAGAGGAAGGAAATCCTGCATCCTGGCCACTCTCCCCTTTACAGGAGAAACCCACAGCTGGCTCTGCAAACACCCCAAAGGCTCTTTCAAAGCTGCGTCAGCTGCTCAGACAGGACAGACCAACAGATCGCAACTTGGGTCTCCTTGCTTGCTTCCAGAGCTGTGCTGAGCTGAGCCAGCCCCATGGTGGACCCCTGCCAGCCAGGTAACTTCAAGAGGTCAGTGGGTCCTTCCCCGAGAAACGCGTTGGTTATGGTGGGGGGCAGGGAGTAGGGGGCCTGGCACATTCCTTCCCTCTACTCTTCATCTCCTCAGTTTGACCTGCTGCCTGAAGTTCTACATTTAGGGGCTCATGTCTCTGAGCTCAGACCTCAATGTTTCGGGGGTTCCCCAGTAAAGGTAAGACACTTCTGGGCAGTTCTGCCCCTTGGTCTCCCCCAACCAGATGACTGGGAGAGGGAGTGACCACTTCTCTGGCTCTGGGCTGTGCTATCGCGATGTTTCCAGTGGCCCCTTAGGTGGTGGGTGTCTGTATAAGGCTGGAAAGGGACAGCCATTGGCCAACCATAGGGTTCCAGACCCCTTTCCCTGGAACACCAATAACTTGGGCTTGCGAGTTCTACCTCAGAAACAACCCAATAGGCTCCCTGGCCATCCTTGCTCACCAGCTGGTAGAAGGTGATGTGAGGTCCCTCGGCATCGTACAGGAACCACCAGGTGGCGGCAGCCACTGTGGCCAGGCCTACATACACTGCAGGGAGGGCAGGAGGAAACCGGCTGTAGTGGACAGCTGTGCTTTTCTGGCATCCATTTCCCCTTCCTAATAAGTCCCTGAATTTCTGTCTGAAAACCACCCTCTCCCTCTCTAAGCTGGGTGGTTTCCATACCTACCCTCAGGGCCAGCGGTGGGCCTGACTGGCAATCAGCATCTGCCATACCCTTGGCTATGGTGATTGGCCAGAACATAAGCAGGTAACCCAATCTGAGCCAAGAATAACCCTAAGACTTCTATCATATTCCTGAGGGAGTAGTAGGATGAAAAGCTCTCCCTTCTGCTGAATGTGGAGTTATAATGGAGTGAGCACGAGGGCTGGCACTGCAGCAGCCACTCTGCTACCCCGAAGGTCATCTGCCTGAGAATGCAGTTGAGGCAAGACAATGATACTGTCTGAGGTCTGGATCCAGCCATGTATGAGGCATGCTCTAATTTTTTCAGTTAGAGGAGCCCACACCATTTCTTTTAACACAAGCCAGGCTGAGTCATACTATCTGCAGTTTGTAAGACTAACTAATAGGAGAGTCTTAGGAAGTTACTAGAACCCCACTGAGGGCTGAGGCGCTTACCTCCAATAGCCAGATATCGGAAGAGGAGCCAGCCACTGATGAGGGCCTCATGAGGGTTCCGGGGTGGCTTCTCCATGATGTCTAGGTCAGGCGGGTTGAAGCCCAGGGCTGTGGCAGGTAGACCATCTGTCACCAGGTTCACCCAGAGCAGCTGCACAGGGATCAGGGCTTCGGGTAGGCCCAGAATTGCCGTGAGGAAGATACTGGAACCAGAATCATGGCTCTAGCCCCCAGCAAATGGAAGATCCAGCTTCCATTCATAGACCAGACTGGGGAGCTCACCCACCGTCTCCCAATACCTCCATCTCACTCTGCTAGTGATGCATGTGCATGAATGACAAGTATGCATACATGGATCTGCCTCCCCTGGGGCCATCACTGCCTCCTCAGTCCCAGTCCTGGAGCCTCGATGTATCTGCTCTTCAGGCCTTTCCTGTGTAGGACCTAACTCCTCTCTGGTCATGCACACACACATGTGGGCAACACACACCTGAACATACATGCATTTGTCCACAGATATGAGCAAAAACCTAGCACAGGCCACACAATTCCACAAACACAAGCAAACACCTACATGCTGGCCCTGACGTGCAAAGATGGCAAGATTCATATTGTCCAGGCCAACATGCGCTCGCTGTTCCCCATAGGCATTCCTTACACGCAAACCTAAGTGTGTTCACAATTACACACCAGCACAAATCCTCTGTGTTTGCACTCATGCCCACAGATGCAGGAGAACACACATGCACACACACACTCCTCTCAGGCACACACACCACATGCACACAACTGTGTGCAAAAATACAGGTACACACACACACACATGAACACATTACTGCCCGAAGGTGGGGCTGGTTCTTCCATCTTGTGCAACTCTGAAAGTGGCTGGAGGGACGATAGGGGACTTTTTAGGTACTTCCTTGGGGCTGGGGTGCACCTGCAGGGGTACCCTGGAAAGCCCCGGCCAGGGTAGGGCACCTGTCCCTCCATTCCTGCAGCCCCATCCCAGGAACTGGCATTCTCCCGGCTCAGGGATGCAGGGCTGGTCCAGAGGGCTGGGAGGAGGGAGCACAGAGCCTCACCAAACAACCTCGCCGACATTGGAAGAGATGAGGTAGCGGATGAATTGCTTCATGTTGCTGTAAATGGCCCGGCCCTCCTCCACTGCAGCCACAATGGATGCAAAATTGTCATCCGACAGCACCATCTCTGCCGCCGACTTGGCCACAGCTGTGCCGGAGCCCATGGCAATGCCAATCTCTGCTTTCTTCAGGGCTGGGGCATCATTCACCCCATCTCCAGTCTGGGGGCCAGGGTAGGAAGGATTATGCCTGAGAAACTTCCCTTCCACCTCCCAGACTCCCTCAGTGCAGCCTATTTCCAAGCTCAGGGGACGTCCCCAAGGAAACAGACAGCTGGACAGAACTAATGGTGAGGTCAAGCCTGAGCTTAGAGCCTGGGCTGGGAATGAGGCTAAAGGGGAGGCAAGGGGTACAGATAAGGACAAAGTAAATGGGGAAGATCAAGTCTAAGGTCAGAGAAGGTGGTACGGTGGGGTCAGGGACAACAGAGGGATGGAATTCAGATTGGATGTGAGGAAGAAGATGAAATTGAGAGCAAAATTAAGGTCAAGTCAGGGATGAGGTCAAGGTTGCGGCCTAGTTCAAGGACCAAGCAGATGTTGTAGTTGAGGTGAACAGTGGAGCCAAGGTGAAGGTCAGGGTCAAGATTGGACTTAGGCTCAAGATTAAAAGTTAAGTTAAGGTAAAGGTCACATCAAAAGTCAGAGGTCAACTCAAGATTATGGTCCACTTCAGGAGTGATGTCATGATTGAGGCTGGAGTTGCAGTCAAGGTCAAGACTGAGGCCAGATCAAAGTTGGAGGTCAACATAAAGTATTGGGTTAGAAGGATCAAGGTAAATGTCAAAGATCAGGTCAGGATCCAGGTCAAGACTGGAACCTATATCTGGGTTGAGCTCAAAGTAAAGAATCAGATTAAGAAGGTCAAGGTCATGGACCAAGTCAGCAAGAAGGTCAAGAACCAGGTTACAGTTGTAGTCAAGGTTAGTGTCCAGCTCAGTATCAAAGTCAAGGCTTCACCACAGGTCAGTATTGAGGTCAAGTTAAAGAACGAGGTTAGGCTGGAGGTCAACAGAAGCCAGGTCAGGGGTGAGGGAGAGGTCAAGAATCAGATCAGTGTCGCTGAATAGGTCAGTCATCGAGAACGAGACTGAACAAAACTTAGAGCAAACCAAATGTCCATCCAAAGCTTAATGGATAAACAAACTGTGGAATATTCACACCGTGGAATGGGACTCAACAATGAAAAAGCATTTGCCTGAGATAATATGAATAAATCTCAAAAGAAAGAGACCAGACACAAGAGTCATTCTGTGTGATTCCATACATATGAAAATCTAGGACAGGCAAAACTCACCCATAGTGGAAAGAAGTCAGAACAGGGGTTGCCTGTGGTGGGAGCAGGGCCTGGTGGGAAGGGGCATGAGGAAACGGCATGGTAATGTTCCCTGCCCTTAAGGGTTTGGGTCACAGGCGTGTGCAAGAACAAAACTCATCAGACATGTGGTGTGCTTAGGACTCATGTATTTCATTCCATGCAAGTTTTAAAACCTCACAAAGGAAAAGAAACAGAAGCACGGATACTGCTGTCCGGAGCACGCATTCTAATGTATGCGAGGGTGAGACATAGTGATGTCTGTACCTACTCTGAAATGCATTTAAGAAAAGATGAGTTAATCGATGGACAGGTTTGTGATAAAAATATTATTTATAGAACCTGGATTGTAGAGACATAGGCATTCACTATAAAATTACTTCAGTTTCTCTTTGTGCTTGAAATTTTTTGTAATAAAATGTCGGAAAAAATAAGGATGGAGCAGAGGCAGGGGTTGCATGGGTTGCTCTTTCCAAGCCTGTGATGAGTGCTCCCTTCACTCCTTGCCACCTCCCCCAGGTGCCCATTCGGTGGCCTCACCATGGCGGTGATCTCGTTAAAGGACTGCAGGTACTCCACAATTCGGGACTTGTGTGCGGGTTCCACACGCGCGAAACAGCAGGCTGTGTGGCAGGCATGGCGCTGCTGCTCGGAGCTGAGGTCATCGAATTCTCGGCCTGTGTAGGCCTTGCCTGCCACATCCTCTGTGTCCTTAAAGATGCCAAGCCGGTGGCAGATGGCCACGGCTGTGCCTTTGTTGTCCCCTGTGATCATGACCACGCGGATCCCTGCCTGGTGGCAGCGGGCAATGCAGGCAGCCACCTCGGGCCTCGGAGGGTCCAGCATGCCCACGCAGCCCACGAAAGTCAGGTCTGTCTATAAGGAAGAGGCAGAGGTAGGGGAGCTGGGCCTATCCACAACATGGTGCCTGCCCAACCGCTGACACAGACGCAGCTCCAGGCCCTGCAGTCCTGCCCCAGCACCCACCTCGAACTGCGCAAACTTGCTGCAGTCATCCAGCTGCATGTCCTCCTTCTTTGGGGGCGTGTCCCGGGTGGCCAGTGCCAGACAGCGCAGTGTGTCCAAGCCTGAACCCCAATCCCGGATCCTGGCCAGGATCTGCTCCCTGGAGGTGGTGCTCAGGGGTACTGTGCGGCTGCCCACTCGGACTGAGCTGCAGCGCTCCATCACACTCTCAGGAGCCCCCTGCAGTGTGGGGAGGGGGAGGCAGCTCCATCAGTCAGGACCCCTCCTTCCCACTTGCCCAACTGGGGAAACGGAGGCCCAGATATGGGGAAAGGCCACCTAAGGCAAGGGCCAGAATCTGTCCTTTGATGGCTCAGAGTGGGAACCGAGTGAGCCCTGCTGTGAGAAAACCCAAAGGCGGTGGGGGTCTTCAGCACCCACTTGTGGTGCCCTCCCCACACCAGGCCACCGCCGAGGCCCGCTGCAGCATTTTGGGGGTGGGGGTGGGAACGGCAGCCCACCCACAGGCTCCGCCTCCCACCAGACTGCTGTGACCAGGATCCCAGTTTGTAGGGAGTTCAGCAGCAGGAGGTGAGCAGAGCCCTGCCTAAGAACCAGAAATAGAGCCATACTGAGGGGTGGTGGATGTGGCCCTGGCAAGGTGGCTCTGGGGGTGACAGGCTCCTCAGTAGCCTCTGAGTCTTACCTGGGCCCTCACGCCAGGCCTGGAAACAGCCTCTGACCACCCCATCAATGCCATCCCCCTCTGCCCAAAGGGCACTCCATACACTGTTTCAAAGTGGCCCGAGCTCCCAATACAGAAGCCATTTCAAAAGGGGGTAACACCTCCTTCAGCTGCGATTCCTACTTCAGGTCCAAAAGCAGCAACAGGAGGTACTGTCAGAGGTCTGGCAGGAGTTGGTCCTTCCCTCCCTGGGACTGTTCCCGAAACACAGAGCACCAACCACCAGCCAGGGCAAAGGGCTTCTGAAGCCTTCCAGCCTGACCCTGCCACTCAGAGGGAGGCCGGGGTCCACGGGGCGGCATGGGGACCCCAGGGTCACACAGCAAGGCAGTGCCTCAGCCTAAGCTGGGACTCCAGGGAGGGGCAGGCCTTGGCGCCTGGCCCTGGCTTTATCTCCAGCAAGCCTGGACCCTGTTCCAGTTCCCCATGGCAGGCTGACCACCCTGGTTCTGGGTTCATTGCTGTGACAGTGGGCCTAGAACTTCCCTCAGTCCCCCACAGTGGCAGCCTCTGGCTCTTTGTCCCCAGGCGTGCAGAGGTCCCACCTTCACAAACATCTTGCTGCCCTGGGCCAGTGGGCCAGGGCGGGTGGGCGTGCAGTACACTGACATTGACTTCCGGTCTCGGGAGAATTCCAGGGTGAACTCCTTCTGCATCAGCTGCTTGATCACCTGTGGGGCCCAGGCGGGTCAGGGCACGAGGGGCAAAGCCAGTGACTCAGCCCCATGAGGAGCCTCTTCTCCCTGCAGGACGGTGTCTGGCCTACTCTGACCCCAGCATTTGAGGCCTCCATCTTCCTCTCCATCCCGGGAAATGGCGAATTACTGCCATTTCCTGACCATGCTGTGCATTTCCCGGCCCAATCCTTGCCCGCACTCAGCCCTTCTCGGTTCTCCTGGGCCAAGGCTTACTAAGCTCTGAAGTCTTCCTTCTCCCAGAAGCCTCCCAAGACTTCGCTCTCCTCTCCACTTTCTCTAGAAGTCCCAGCCATGCAGCTTGCCGCCCAAGCCCCTGTCCTGCTCACCGCATTGCAGGCGCCGGCTCGTTCCACCTGGGACAGGGCCTGCAGGTCGGTATCAAATACATTCATCTTCTCCACCAGGCAAGTCAGGGCTGTCTCTGTGGCCTCTCCCACCTTCTCATACACGCCCTTGGCCTGGAGGGACCAGGGTAAGGGAGTGAGGGGCAGGTGGCCCCCAGCAAAGCCCCCAGCTGGCCTCCCACTCACTCCCTGCCCCCTGGCGCTCCCTTTGCCAGTTACCTGAGATCTCCTCCGCAGGAGTTCTGTGGGCTGGCCCAGCCCAGCTGCTGTGGGATCTGGGTGCTGCCTGACACTGAGGCTCGCTGCTCCCCAGCGATGAACATGCATCCTCCCTGCCTCCCACCTCTCTGCCCACTCCTCAGCCTCCTTAACCAGGTTTCTCCTCCTAAACCCTGCTGTCTGGCCCTGCTCCTTCCCTCCCACCTTCTCTCCGAGGCCTCACATGCTCCCTGTTCCAGGACCTTTAATGTGCTCATGACTGCCAGTGCCCAGCCAGGCCAGGACCACTCCCCTGAGCTCCAGGCCCTCACGTCTCACTGCTGCCGACTGGACTTTGTTCCCTGGGGACCCTCAGCCACCTCCCCCTCTCCCCATATTTGCCAGTCCAGTGACAGTCCCAGCCAGGACAGCAACCAGGAGCTCCCCTGACCTCCTTCCCATCTCTCACCTAACCAGTCAGCAAGTCCCAGGTTTTCTGGCTCTTCAATCTCTCTCCAACCCCTGAGGCCCAATCAGGCATCAGCTGGCATCTCTCTGACCTGGCCCCAGCCCTGCCCTATTCTGTCCTCCACACAGAGGTCTGGGCGATCTTTTGTAAACGCAAATCTGACCACATCACCACCCCAACTCAAAACCCTTTGCTTGCTGTCTACACACTCGGGTTGGCATGGGACCTGGCTGGACAAGTCCGTCCCTTCAGGGCGGATCTTCCTGCCTGCTCCATCCCATTGCATTCAATGCCTACATCACATCAGCCATGGGCCTTTCCTGGGCTGTGCCTTCTGCTTAAAACTCCCTCTCTAGTAGTACCCCCACTCCCCCCGTTTCTCCTCCCTGGCCCTTCAGCCCCTTACATTACAGTCCTCCAAAGCCCAAGAGCCCCAGGACAGGGTTCCGAAGCCAGTCCGAGGAAGGAGTGGCAGTGGGGAGCGTGCGACGTGGCAGTGCTCCTAGGGTGTGGCATTCCTAAGGGGCGGGGACCACCAGCCCTGGGAGCTTCGAGTCTCTGGGAGAAGGGGCTGTCCTGGGCGCCTGGATACTAGAGAGGTCATGAAAGGGTGCGAGAGCCCACCTCGTTGTAGTCCAGCGCCGAGTCATTGCACAGGGCACAGATGGTCGCCAGCTCTACCAGCCCATCGAACTGCCCGCAACGCACACGCCGCTCCCCCTGCCGCCTGCAGAGCCCCGGAGGTCAGTGCAAGGACCTTGGTTCCTAGGTGACCAGCCTCTTGGTCCCGCCCCCGGGAAGCCTCGCCCACTGACAATTCCGAGGTGTCCCTATAGCCCCGCCCAGCACGAAGCCCCGCCCCACCCGCGCCCCCTCTCGCAGCACTCACACTTCGCCTTCAGGGGCGTATGTAGTGCCTGAGATGGTGAACTCGTGTAACCGGCAGGAGCCCGCTTCAGCCTCAGCTATCACGAACATCTGCGGAGCGCGAGGCATGCTCAGGTCTCATTCCTTGGGCAGCCAGTCTGATACCGCCTGACCCTAGGGTTGGGGTCCTAGGGGCCCCCTAGCCACCTGCCTTTCCTCCTGCCAGGGTCTCCCAGGGGCAATGTAAGAGCAGAGTCCAGGCTGTGGCGGGGTCTCTGCTCTGTCCACGTGTGCCCAGCTCAGGCTGGACCATTTGCTCTGCACCTGGGAGGTTTATGGCAGATTCTGCAGTGTTCTAGGGGCAGCTCCCAGCTTGACAGAGCCCTGGGCTGGGGCAGGAAGGGACTCCTGGCTGAGGAACTGGGCTTCAGTTTCCCCATTAGTAACATGAAAAAAGTGGGATCAGGGTCCAGTTGCTCTTCTTTTCCTTTCAAGAGGATGAGTTTCTGGCCTCATTCTTTCTGGAAACCCACACCTTATTTGAGCCATAGACCCCTCCTGATCAAAGCTATCCCCGGACAGTGAGCTCCTGCCTGCTGGGCCCGCTGAGTCACCCAGCCCCTACCTGTTCACCTCACGGAAGGGGCTCACCCCTCCCAGGGTGGCCCATTTCCTTGTTTGCCAGCCAGCTCTGCCCAGGAGACAGGTTTTGCTTTCTGTAAACTGGCTCACTGCACATTCCCAAGCCAATGAATGGCCAGCCTGGCACCCAGTAGGTAGGTGCTGAAGAAATGTCCCTTCCTGTGCTCTCCTCCCTGCCCCTGGGGCAGCCGTCTAGCCAACATGGCCCATTATCCACCATGTGAGACCTCTACAACTTCCCTATACTGTTTTACAAATTTTTATTGCAGTCAAGGAACACTCTGTTCAAACGACATCCTACTAGGGATTCTGGCAGGTCAGGGGCTGCAAGGCAGTAAAGCTTGCTGACGTCCCTGCCTCTGCGGCAGCCTCTGATGGGTTTCTATGGGGCTTTTAAAGTCTTGGATATAGAGCCCAGGTTTCCAAGGCCCAGTAGGCAGACTATGGGAGCAGGGGCGGGAGAGGAGCAATGGGAGAACCTGGAGGGGTGGGAAGCCCACAACAGTCATCATCTCCCCACCCTCCCTCTGCCCCACAGGCCTGCTGGTGCCTCAGCCAGAATCCCTGGAGAATGTGGGTAGCAAACCCAGGATCTGGGATCAAGTGCCAGAGAATGAGTGATTCCTGCCCTGACCCTTCCCAGGTCACTGGAGCTGGCACATCTGGTGACAAGCATTGACTGCAGTCATGGTGGAGCAGGATAGAACCTGGGTCCAGCCTAGCTTCACTCAGATGCCAGGGCTGTACTTGACCCTCTCCTATGTTTTTCATGGTTACACAACCCAATTTCAGATGAGAAAACGGAGGTTCATAGATGGGCAGTGACCTCCCACGGCCTTACAGTGATGCATGAGTCTTAGTGACACATGTCCAGCTAAGCTATGTTGCTCTATACCCTGAAAACCTGGATCTGCTCCTACTGTGGGGCAGCCTACAGGTTCTCTCCTCCATCCCCGGCTAAAAAGGGAGTCAGAGAGTAGCCCAGAGACAGAGTGCAGTCTGCCAAGCATCACACAGCAACTCCAGTGGGACCTCAAGCCGGTCATGGCCACTCACTCTGCAGACTGACATCTGATTGGTGGTAAGTGTGCCCGTCTTGTCGGAGCAGATGACTGAGGTGCAGCCCAGGGTCTCCACAGAGGGCAGACTCCGCACGATGGCATTCTTGCGTGCCATGCGCCGTGTGCCCAGCGCCAGGCATGTAGTGATGACAGCTGGGAGGCCCTCGGGGATGGCGGCCACAGCCAGGGCCACAGCAATCTTGAAGTAGTAGACAGCACCGCGGAGCCAGGAGCCCCCGTGGGCCGGGTCGGCAAAGTGGCCAATGTTGATGACCCACACAGCCACACAGATCACAGAGATGGCCTGCGACAGCTGCCGCCCAAACTCATCCAGCCTGTGCTGCAGCGGCGTCCGCTCTGGCTCCACTGCCGCCATCTGGCTGCGGATCTCACCCAGCTCCGTGTGCAGGCCTGTGGCCACGGTAACACCCACTGCCTTGCCTGACGCAATGTTGGTACCCTGGCAGAGGGATGGACGAAAGAAGGCTGCTCAGCACCTCAGCCGGGGCCCAGGAACCCTGGCTTGGCTTTCTTTTTCTCCATGTCATTCAGTGCTCCCAGGCTTAGGCAGCTATGCAGTGCTGGGTCACTGCTGTCATCCCATGATAGTGTCAGCTCTCTGAAGCCGAGGACTTGGCTCAGCACCGTATCCCCAGTGCCTAAAACATGGGGCCCAGCACAGAGGAAGCACCCATCCGGCCAATACTCACAATATGGTCAATAGCACAGCCCCAACCCATCAAAATACCATTCATGAACAACCAGCACAGCCACGCAGGAGTGCCCCTGACCGTGGCCCCAGGTACAGTCCATAAATATTTACTGAAGAATCCAGAAAACTTGAACTTAAGTCTATCCGTTCCCAAGGCAAACATCCGTAAATCCATCCATTCCCAGTAAAACCGCTAATCCTGGAGTAAGGTGCAGCCAGTTCTGAGCCTCGTGTCCTCTCTGTAAAACGGTCCCACAGAGGCTCAAGACACAGCTGCTCCCAGGAGGCTGATACGTTGGCGCCCTTCAGCCAGGCGCACTGCGCCGAGGCTGGAGAGAAGGTGGGTGCTGGTGGCAGCCTCTGCTTCTCTTCTCTCCTGAGCAATGTGGCTCCCACCTCCCACTTTCAGACCCCTCAGTTAGCCAGGGCATCCTCCTTGGGAAGAAGCTTCTCAGTGACAACTGCTGATGCCCAAGTAGTCCCCTTAGTCCCCTCCCCACCCCAAAGCAGTTTGCCCAAGGCTTCCACCCATCTAGGTAGGGTGCACTTCTCAAGAACAGCTCTGGTAAGTATCACTTCCTCCATCCATTTCTGTTCATTTCTGGGGAGGTTTTCTAGCCTTATATAACGTGGGGCCTCGGCCACTTGTCAGTTGGCTTGAGCCATCCTTGTAGCCTCTGGGCTTGGCTTCAGGCTGTTTCTGGGCAGCCTGTGAGCATCGCTGGTTGTCTCTCGGAGGCCCCAGGGCAGACCACACCCACCAGGGCGGAACCCATCACTCTTCCTAAAAAGAGCCTTGGGAGTCCCTTTTCCCAGCTGAGAAACGGACTGTTCCTGTCATCCTCCACCGCTTTGGCAACCCTCTCCCCTCTACAGGATTCTCCACTTAGTCATTATAGGCAAGCTCTGCCCCTCTCCAGATTAAGGCAGGATAAGCCTAGAAGGTAAGAGGAAAAGCTCTGGAGTTAGAATGTCTGAGTGCAATCCCAGCTCTGCCATTCACTGGCTATGTGACCTTGGGCAGCTTACCTGGTGCCTGTTCCCTTGCTGGAAAAATGCAGATAACAGGAGTCCTTATTTCAAAGGCATTGTGAGGATTAATATAAATTAATACATGTAGAAGACTTAGTGCCAAGCACAGAGCCTTTAGTAAATACAAGCTATTATTATTAGTATAAATTTGCATGTATTGTCAATAATTGAGGAGGTTCTTTCCTTTAACTGACTAAGTGTTACCATTTTTATTATCAATGTCCAAGCCAAAGCCCAGCCATCCCAGGGACTTACGGAAAACAGCATGTTCTTCTTGTCCTGGTTGACAGCTCTGGGATCTGGGATAGCATCTGTGTGCTTGGTCACAGACATGGATTCACCTGGTCACGGAATCAGAAATGAGAGGCCCCGCATGCAGGCACCTCCATCCCCTGACCCAGCTGCTGCCGGGCCCCGCCTCTGGGCCTCACCTGTCAGGATGGACTGGTCCACTCTCAGTGTGGTGGACTTGATCTCGATGAGGCGGAGGTCGGCGGGGACTTTGTCTCCCACTGTGGGGACAGAATAGCTCGGCTAAGTGTGGCTTTGGAAGCCACCCACCAGGAAAGTCAAGAGGGGCCCCAGGAAACAAGGTTGGGGCTGGGAACAGGGGCCTGAGCTGTGATCCCTCAGGTGGCCCCTGTGCCCTGGCCTATAGTCCCCTTATCTGTCCAGTGGAGTTTTGGCCAAAGAGCTTTGGAGGGATCTGACAGCCACCCCTCTGCATATACAGCCCAAAGCATGGGGCCAGAGACTTGCTGGCATGAACCCATGCCATGGGGACATGGGCTTGCTGGCGTCACGTAACAAAAGAAGGAGGCCCCCAATGACCTGCCACTTCCACAATGTCTCCAGGGACGATGTCCCGGGCATGGATCCTCTGGACACCCTTGCGGTCTGAGCGGATCACCTTGCCCATCTCAGGCTCATACTCCTTCAGGGCCTCGATGGCACTCTCAGCATTGCGTTCCTGCGAACATGAGGCAGACATGCGGTCAGTCCCCACTGGCCCCAGCAAGCCACCCCACTGGAATGACAACCTTAGGGCCTGGGATGGAGCTGGAAGCAGAAGGCCCTGCAGGACTCTGGCACCAGGCAGAGGTCACACCAAGCAGCCAGGAGACCCCAAGGCCCAGCCCACCCCCACGCCTCCCACCTGCCACACGCCCACGATTGCATTGGCCACAAGGATCAGCATGATGACCAGGGGCTCCACAAAGGCTGTCGTGGTCTCCTCACCCTCCTCGAACCAGGCCAGGATCTGCCGGGATTAGAGCTGGTAAGTTTGGACTCTGCTGTGAGCCACAGTCTGCTCACCATTTCCTTTGTACCCTGTCCCCCTGCTTTTGGGGAGATAGCCCTGGGGAGCCCTGGCTTAGGACACCTTGCCTCTGCAGGTGGTGACGGCCACAGCCCATGTCCCACCTGGCCAGCTTTCAGGGCTGTGGGGCAGTTGTCTAGCTGCCAGCTAGGGGCCTCACTGTCTGCCAGGCTGTGGCTCTTCCAGTGTGGTGCCCAGACCAGCAGCAGAAGCATCATCTGAGGTCTTGTTAGAAATGCAGTCCTCAGGGTCCATCCCAGACAGTCTAAGTCAGAAACTGTTGGGGGCCCAGTAGCGTGTGTTTTAACAAGCCCAGGTGATCTCGCTACAGGCTCATGCTCAAAGTCCACTGGCCAGGGGAGCTTAATTCCGGCCTGAGCCCAGGCCTGGACCAGGAGACCCAGTTCAGATCCTGTTCCCACCTCTTGCCCCAGGTGGGTACTTCTCACTGCCCTCCATGGGCCTCAGTGCGTCCATCCTTACCGTGGAGGCGTACCAGCACCCTCATGGCTCAACTGTTTGGGCATCTGCATGGATAGGCTTTTCTTTCTCTCTAAGAGTCCTCAGTTTCCACAAGGACAGTGGCTAGGACGGCCAGACACTGCTGGCGGGGGCCCTGCTGGCTAGAGGGGAAGGGTTGGTCCCACCCAATGCACCTGCTGCTCTGCACTCCACGTACTGAGATGAGGCCTTCTCTCCTGGCCCTGCTGCGCATGGGGGCAAGAGAGGGAATTGCATCCATCCTCAGGGGAGCCATTTCCCTGCCCCACCCCTGGGTCTCTGCTGCTCAGACACTGATGTGACCACAGGTCCAGAGAGGTCCAGTCAGCAGGAATGGGGTAAGAGCAAAGGGGAGCAGCAGCCACGAGGAGAAGTAAAGACCCCAAATCTTCTGAGAGGCACTGGGAGCCACGGAAGGAGCTCTCACCCGGGGCCATTTGAGCCCCCTCTGGGACATTTGGCAATGTCTGGAGACTTTTGATTGTCACAGCTGGGGAGTGCCAGTGGCTTCTGGTGGGCAGGGGCTAGGGATGCTGCTAGACATCCTACAGTACACAGGATGGCCCCACAACAAAGCCTTACCTGGTACAAGATGCCAGTGGTGTGAGGGTGAGAAACCCTGCACTGAGACAGGGAGGGGCGGGGCGCCCGTGTGTTTCTGCAAGCTCGCTCTGACAGCCAGGGGGTCAGGGACAGATGGGGGCTGAGGCCAGTGGGGAGGGGGGGTGCCGTGAGGCTGAAGCAAGGAAAGCTGAAGTCTGAGCAAGGCAGAGGTGGGTAGAGTGGCTAGAGGCCCAGGGATGCCCATGAGGGAACAGCCCTGTGGGCCGGGGCCTGGGCCTCGGAGCACCGCCCTGGGCTGGCTTCCCTGCACCCCACTGTGTTGCACATGCTATGGGGCAGGGGTCTACTTACAAAGGAGACCAGGGCAGCCAGCAGCAGGATTCGCACCAGGAGGTCCTCAAACTGCTCCAGCACCAGCTCCCACAGGGACTTGCCTGGGAATGGGGGCATTCTGTAAGGTCTGGGCCCCTGACCAGCCCACCTGCCCCATTCAGAGCTGGGACCACCCCAAGACCACCTGGCTTGCTCCCTCTGTCCATGTGAAGCAGGAGAGCCCGGGCCCTGGAGGCACAGCCAGGCCTTGCTCTGTCAAGGAGCAGGAGGACACATGTGACAGTGGATGACCCAAGGACGTCACCCAGTGGCCTTGCCACCTGCCCTGGCCCAAGCCTCACCTTCCTCCGTCGGGAGTTCTGTGGGATCCAGCAGCCACGGGAGCCATGAGGAGACAAGAGACAACTGGGTTGAGCAGTGGGGCTGTGGAGGGGCCTCAGCAGCCCCCTCACTGTGCCCACCCAGACCTCTGCGGCAGCCTGCACACGTCCCCACAGCTCAGAGGCCACAGAATGGGGGTCTGGGCCCGTGCTTCCACCCCGCCCCCACCCTGCTCTGCATGAGGAAGGTCTGATGTGGCCTGGCTTACCCTGGGCCAAGACCAGAGCAGGAGGGCCCTTCCAGACCCTCCAGTCCAACACCCCCGACCCCACTGCACAAGGGGAAACTGGGAAACTGAGCAAATTGGGGAAGAGAAGGGACCCAAGGTCGCACCAAGAATGGACAGATGCCCACCCAGTCCTGTTCAGTGCCCCCCACACCTGAGGCAAGGTAGCTCCCCGTCAATCTGAGAACATCAGCTCGGGCTGCCTCTGACACACCTGCTCCTGGGGGACCACCAGGAACAGGCTGCAGCACACCCAGCCCCCTGGGCCCCACCCCACCTGGGGGCTTCCCCTGGATGCAACCCCACAGCCATCACTCCAGACAGCAAGAAGCCTGCCACAGATTAGGTCCTAGAGGTTGAGTGTCACCTCGCCCCCTTCCAGGCCCTCCACTCCAGCCTGCACACACAGTCCCAGACCCCAAACTCCACCAAGGCCTCCTGTCACTTTTCAGCTCCACATTTATCTCCTTCTGTTCCAGGCAGAGCGGCTCTGCCCCTGAGGTCTTTGGAGCTTCCCAGCAACCTACAGGGGAAGCAGTGGTGGGGAGTACCTGCCCTGTTTCACAGGTGCAAGAACTGAGGTTCAGAGTGGACAGTGGCTTGAGCAAGGTCACCCAGTGAGTCCCGGGGGTGGGAGCTGGGCCCTAGAGGGTGGACACGGGGGCTGCTCCCTCCAAGCTCAGGCCCTGCTGAGGCTTGAGGCTCCTCCCAAACCAGACCTAACTGAGCCCCATCTTCTTGTGCCTTGCTACTCAGAGGACAGTCTCTGGACCCGCAGCATCAGCATCCCTGGGGGCCTGTTAGCAGTGCAGACTGTCAGGCCCACCCCAGGCTGGCTCTCTGCTCCTCCTCCTCCTTGACACAGATCCTCGCATATTCCACCTGTTTTTGGCTGGAGGGCCGGGAAGCATTTTCTCTCATGGGAGTCCTCTCCCCACACCACCTGTTGGGAAGGTCTGGGGTCTGCACCTGGCAGCTGAAGGGGGAGAGTATCAAGCAGCCCACTGGACTGCAGGAATCCAGGAGGGAAACATATAATCTAAAAATACACTTTCTAGCATTTTCTCCAAAGTCCTATTTTAGGCAACAGCTGACATTTTCCGTGGAAAATGTAATCTCCAGTGTTCTGCGTTGAGATTAAAATCAGACTTTTTCCTTCTGATCTATTTAACTGAAGTGAACAGGAAAGGTAGGGGGAGGGCCAGGCCAATTCTGGGCCAATTCTCCAATGGAGCAGGGTCCTTTAGAGGTCATCTGTGCCATGCCCCAGACTCGGCACAGAATGCTTCCAACCTCATCACACATCAGCCTGCTTCTGCTGTGCTCTACGCAGGAGACTCCTAAACCCCTCATCTCTGCAGGTATCTTCTGGGTTCCTGCCTAAAGGGGGAGCTTATTTGAAAGTCTCACCTGAACCTCTCGTGCTGTCTCCCTACCCCACCCTCTGTTAGGCATGTAGCCCCTCGGCCACCACGTTCCTTGGCATTTTTTCTGGGCAGGGGCAAGGCCTGGGTTGAGACTTCACAGGGCACAGAAGCCAGCTCCAGTGCCCTGCAGAACGCCCTCTCCCAAGTTCTCTGTTCTCTGCCTTTCCACCAGGTCCTTCCCTTCTGCTCTCTGACCCGGGATCCACTCTTCAGTGGCCATGATTCCCCAAATGATTCTGCTTCTCTCCACCTTGTGGGCACATAGCAGTCTGCTCTTCCCGGCCCTCGCGTGAGTTGCCAAAAGGATGTGCGTGAGCTCTGGGCTGGAGCGCTGAACTGCTGGCGGGACTCTCCAGAAGGGGGCTGTCCAGTAGAAATTTCTGTGATAACCTAACTCTTCTGCAGCCGTGCTGTCCTATACAGAAGCCACTAGTCGCATGTAGCGACTGAGCACTGGGAATGTGGCTAGTGTGACTGAAAGGCTAACTATTAAATTTCAATTAATCTTCACTCATTTAGATTTAAAGAGCCACATGAGGCAAGTGTCTGGCACACTGGACAGCATGTCTGGAGCTCTTTGTCCCTCTGCTACAGCGCCCAGCAATTTGTGAGATGGTGTCTGCTCTGGGAGCCTGAGTTACAGGATGCAGGAGATACCGAGCCCCCAGGTGCCCCCAGATACCTGCCACTGACATCCGTATATACAGTGTGAATGAGAAACAGCTTCTGTTGTCTTAAGCCATTGAAATTTGGGGGTTGTTACTGCAGCATAATCTAGCCTGTCCTGACTGGTGTCCCCTTCTCCCCCAACCCAGCTTCTACCCCATGGCTTCCCTTCCAGCCCACCCACCGCCCCTTGGGGGAAGCTCAGCCAGCCAGATCACCGCAGAGGGCCGCCCACCCCTACACAGGCCATTCCTGCACATGAACATGTGTGCAGTCCTGCCTCGGCAGCTGGCTCCCTGTGGGGGCCTGACCTCCTCTGGAAGATGGGGCACCCACCCCTCCCTGAAGGGCTGCTCTGAGGATGAGCACTACTATAATTAATAAGAGCCTCATTTACTGAGCACCTACAATGTACCGAGCAATGTGCCAGATGCTTCACCCATGTTAACTGCAGAGAGAAATGGGAAGGCACTGAGCAGGAGAAGGCGCTCACAGAGAGAATGACTGCAGCAGAATGATCAGTGTGAGCATGCCAGATGCCATGCTGACTCCTAGAGTGTGTTACTCTCTGTGACTGTCAAACAAGCTGAGAAGAAGGATACAATTACTCTGCCCATTTTACAGAGTAGACAACTGAAGCAGGGAGAGAGGCTGAGTGACTAGTTTATGGTCACACAGCTGGGTCGGGGCTTTGAGCTCAGGCAGTCTGGTTCTCAACCCTCTGCGTATCTGAAAGGCCTGGGTTGGGACTTCACAGGGCACAGAAGCCGGCTCTAGTGCCCTGCAGAAGAAGTCTCTGCACAGGACTCCTGCGCTAACTTCTCGGCAGTCCTGCCTTCCCATCCTGGCCCCCTGCCTCCCCAAGCCAAGACCACCTGAAACACCTTGGTGTTCCATGTCCTGACTGTTAGGCTGGATGTCCTCATCCCATCAACCAGCTCACCCCTCTGTTGTGACCCCAGAGCCATCAGCCAGAATCATTCCTGTCTGAAAGGCTCTGCTGTTCTCAAGGTGGTGTTTGGGGGTTACTAAGCCCTCTTGCTCAGGTTTGGTCTGGTTCAAAGTTTCAACCTGGCAAGACCCTGGATGACCCAATTCTCCCCTGACACGACCAAATCCCAGAGCCATAGAGGGAGCCCATGGCTAGGAGAGCACCCTCCCAGCTCCTCCCCGGGCATCCCCAGAAGTTGCTGGCTTCCCTTCACAACCTCCAGGCTGCATGTGGGGGCTCTGAGCCAGTTCCCCTTTAAGTGGTGTCAGTATGGGGTTTGTTAGATGGGGAGGACACCCCAGCCCTGCCCACCTCTTGGTGCCATCCACCGGGCTGCACAGACCCAGACAGTTACAAGTTCTATCTTATAACCCCAGAAGCTGGGTTCAGCTGTAACAGATCCCAGCTGGGCCAGCCCAGGGGCGTGCAGCCGCCACTGTTCTGCATGGCAGACCTCCGGACCTCTCACATAGTGGCTTCTCCCGGTCAACCCTTGCTCTAGGTCACTGTTGTCAGACCGAGCCGGCCCATGCCCACAGATGCCTAATGTGGGGCTGGCCTGGGGGTCCTGGGGGCCAACAGGGGATGTGATCAGAGAAGCTTCATGGCTTAGAGCAAGGGGTCTGGTCCAGAGAGCTTGAGTTCAAATCTTGCTTTATCTCTTGGGAGTTCTGTGGCTACGGACAAGTCATTCAAACCCTCTGTGATTCAGTTTCCCCATCTGCAAAGTGGGGATAATAACAGTCCACTACCTCATAAGGTTGCTATGAAGACTAAATGACATGCTATGCATAAAGCACTTAGAATATGCCCAGTACATGGTAAGTACTCCAAAAACAGTAGCCATCATAACTCTTAGTGTGTCAGCTACATGCCAGCATGACTTTGTTAACTGCAGTGTCCCAGCACCTGGAACAATGCCTGGCACATAGCAGGTGCTCAATGAGTGGGTGACCCTGCCTCTGTCCTGCTCTCAGACATGCAGGAGCTCTCCTTGGTCTGCAGAAGACCCTCAAGGCCTTCCTGGATCTGCCCCAACCTGCCCTTCCAGAATCACGCCTGCATCTTAGACATACCCAATGCCTCAGGATTGCTCCCACCTCCCCTGGTTTTACTAAAGTTTCTCCCCCTCCAAGATTTTGTTTGGGGCACTCCTGTTCAGGGTACCCCCTTCTCCATCTCCCCTTCTAAACCCCAGCCTTCTAGGAAAAGCCTCTCCCTGCCATTCCTCTGACCTTCTCTGACCAGTCATCCTCCCACCGGCCTGGAGCACCTCCAGGGTGGGAAGGGGCTGAGTCATCTCTGGGCCCACACAGAGCCTCAGAGTTGTTTACTCGGTTACCCAGGCAGCTCAGGCCAGAGCCCGGAGAAGCAGGTGCAGGGCCAATGCTGCCCTAGGGCTCACACACCACCTGCACCCCTAACCCCCCTTCTTGACTCTTTCCTTCTCCTCTGGAAATATTGGAGACTGCTATTTTGGCTTCTAAATACCAGTTCCAGTGGGGGTAGGCAAGTGCTCGCCCAGGTCTTCCTCAAAGGTAAGTTGACAAAGCAATCTAACCATCATTTGCAGAGTCAGGGAGCGGCCCTGGCTGGGCACACCCCGCCCCACCCCACAGCCCTGTTGGCTTCCAGGGTCCACCTAGACTAGACAACCTGGCTCTGCTTGGCAGGGGGCCTCGGGAAATGGCCACCCTGCGCTGCAGCCTTCCTGGCTGGCCTGGCACTGGGAAGCCCTGGCAAAGGGTTTGCTCAGCCGTGTGCCAGCTGCGCCGCGGACCAACTCGCTCTGCCTTAGGGGTGTGGGTTCTGAGGGGCAAGCCTGACGCCGCTCCTAGGAGGGGTGCTAAGGCTGCCCGACAAGGGCCTGTGGGCCAAAAACTTGGGGGAAGCCTGAGAGACCTGGGGCTTCCCAACCTGTGGGCCAGCCACACCCCCAGACCTGAGGTTGGTCCATAGCCAGCACGGCTTAGGAGGATCTCAAGGTCCCATCTCTGCTCTCCTGAGGACACTGAGGCCGAGAAGGGGCAAGTTGGCCTGAGGCCACCCCATGAGCCAGGCCACTCAGACCTCCTCCCACCTGACCCCTTTCCTCTTGGCCTGGTTGCCATGGGCCACACATGGGGCTTTCCTCAGTTCCAGCTGCCAACAGGGCCTGAGTTTGAGGGCAGGAGATAAGGCCAAGGCTCGGAAGCCACTGGCAGGAATTTAAACCTGGACCATGCCTCCCACCTGGCATCTCTGGGGCTGCCACACCCACAGCACAGATGGGCAATGTGAGACCCAGAAGGCAGCCCCTGGCACAGCCCCTCCCCACCCCCCAGACAGAGACCACCCTCCACCCTCCAGAGATCTCCTGGGACCTCCTCTGACCCCCAGCTCACTGGGCTCTCTGGAGCGTTGACCCACTTGTCAGGATATACCTGACCCAGTCCTGCCTTCTGCCTCGGCTCATGTCCAGCAAAGATGTTGGGCAGCCCATTCAAGGATGTAAGGGAACAAATGACCCCTAAATATGTGACGTCCACATGTGAAGTCCTGACTTGTCTACAGAGAAATGCAAAGTGGAGCTATGAGAGCACACTTTCCTGTCAGATGGACACAGGGCAGAACACCACACTGTGACGTGGTGGGAAACGGGCAGGTTGACTGGGGAACTTTATGGAGGACAATTTAGCAACAGCTGTCAAAATTTAAAATACACATGCCCTTTGACCCAGAAATTCCACTTCTAGGAATGTACCCTTTAGTGATATTCACAAGTTTGTGAAATGACACGGGGACAGGGATATGCCTTGTAATGTGTGTGATAAGCAGAGATGTGAACAACCCAAGTGCCCATCAAAAGCTGGGGTGAAGAAGTGCTGGTTCAGCCACACAGGGAAACCCTTAGTCCTCTAGGAAGCCCAAGGATGCTCCATGAGGCACTCTCTCCACATGATCATCACATGGAAAGCTGGGGCCATAGAGCACTCCTGACAACAGATCACTGACCAGGGGGTGTATGTGCAAAGGCCCTGGGACCACTGAGAATGGGTAGTTGGGGACTGGGCTGGGGAAACTCACTGTACACCTTTTGTACCCTTTGAAGGTTGTACTGTTTGCACATTGTTATTCAGAAAATAAACTGAAAGGATGTGGAACACCCACCCCCAACCCCAAGGAAGCTGAGTCCTGGGCACCTCTGGGACCTGCCCAGAAAGGCTGGCTCACAAGAGCCTCCTGCTCACTGGCCCATTGGGGCCTTAGGCAACATATCTACAAGCCAGGTTTGGAATGGGCAGTGCTCTGCGTGCGTCTCCTGGCTGGTGTACTCACTGACATACTACTGACTCAATCTGAGGAGGAACAGGCTAAGGTGCGAGGGTGGGATCCTCAGCCCCTCCCTGCCCCCAACCCTGCAGGCAGAATTTGCAAACTTCACGACTTAAGCAAATGACTTCCTTGCGGTTTCCAGCAGCTGACGCCCTTGCAGGTGCACACACTCCAGGGGTGGGAAGCAGGGGACACCAGTCCCTGGGGTGTTCCCCTCCACCTGCAGGTCCCGCCCACCCCACCACCCAGCTTCTGGCCCAGCGCCCAGTCCAGTCTCTTCTGCCACAAGGAAGGATGCCTCAGTGTACACAAACATCACAGACAGCCCCAGGGCACGGCTGCTACTGTACTCTCACTTATGAGGAAGAAACCAGGGCACAGAAGACCCAATGGCTTATCCAGGCTCACACAGCCACGAAGGAGCAGAGCTGGGCTCAGCCCTGTCAGCCCCACCCGAGAGGCTGTGCCGGTAGAGACTGTGGGACACCCATGCCCCCTCCTCAGCCTGGGCTGGGCGGAAGGGCATGAGGAAGGCAGGGACAGCTGGCTACCCCCTCCTCACCCGAGGACTTCCAGGGCCTGGGGAAGAAGCTGATCAGTGATCTCAGGGGTATGAGGGGAAAGCGAGAATAGCTCCTACCTAGCTGATCATCACCTGAGCACAAGCACCAGCATCAGGGCCCCAGAGCCTGCAGAACCAGTGACCCCACCAGTGACCCCCAGAGAGGGGCATGCACCCAATAACAGCTCTACCCCTTGTTGTGTGACCTTGAGAAGCTGTGTAACTTCCTGGTGCCTCAATGACCTCCTCTGTAACGTGGTAATGACAACAGTTGTTTGGGGGAAAAATGAGAGAAAAGATGGAAAGTGCTAAGAGCAATGCCCGGCACATAGTAAGTACTCAATGAACGTTAGCTTTTATTATTCCTACTATCAAAGCACGGAGGAACCAGGGAGGCCCAGTGGTGACCGACTCCTACCACTCCCTCAATGCACATCCACCTCTCTGTGGACCTGCACACCACACCAACATCCTCACCCATCACCCCACACAGATGCTCAGTGGCCAGGGCACCCAAATCCCCTCACTCAGGCAAAGCAACATGGGAGAGAACCAGAGGCTCCCTCCTTCCTGGTCAGTCCCTCCTGCTGGACCGATGAAGACATGGGGGCCAGAAAGGGAAGGGGAATTGGCCAGGCTGTCAAACAGGGCCGATCTGTGTGTTTCTGGAGGCAGAACCAAAGGCTGGGTCTTCAGCTTCCGTTGGGAATCAGGACTCTCAAGCTAGAGGCCACAACCCCACAGAAGAGGCTGTGAAACCCCAGACTAACTACCCTGACCCCCACTCCCATGCCCGGGTTGGGGGACCGGCTCTGCTGTCCTGCTCTTCTGCAGCAATGACGTTCTCCCTGCCAAGTCACTAAGGGGGGATATTAAATAATATTTATCTCCCTAGCTCCTACCACAGCTCAACTAAATATAGCAACTAATTTTTTTGAAAATGGATTTCTGCTCCAGAAAGATAATATTTGTATAAGAGGTGGTTTTCATAAACCAATACAAAACCCAAAGCTCCATTTCTGACAGTTCTTCGTAAGTTTCAAGCCAGCGCTGAGCAGTGAGCACTCAAACTTACCCCCTGGCTGGCTGGGGACCCTCAAAGGGTGAGGCCCCAAGTCCTGAACACAGGTCCGGGCTGCACTTTGGGGATGGAGGGGTCATTTCTCTTTGGACCCCTAACACTCTGCCTGGTGCCCTGGGGTGGATGAAGGGGGTAGCAAGTCTTTCCTGGAAGCAACTTGGGGAGGGCCTCTTCTACATTTTCCAACCTCACAGGTCCTTCATGTGTGCCAGGGCCACGTCTGGACAGTACCTGGCACTTCCCGTGCCTTTTGGCAAATGGAGAATGACACACTCCTTGGAAGATGAGGAAGAAATGATACCTCTCCCACTCAAACAGTAACAGCAGGGCAGGCTTCCTGCCGGCCCACAAATGGGCAGGCGCTGCTACAGGTCCCCCAGGAGGGAAAGGCCTCCCCAGGCAACTCTCTGCATGAGGCCTTGAGTCTGCCACCCCCAGGGAGGTGGGTCCCCCGCCTCAGCAGTTCAAAGCCCCCACCAACTCCCGCCAGCCACATCCGCCTTGGGTGGCAGAAAAGAGGAAGACCTGGGGGTGGGGGTGAGGGCACCAAGCCGCCAGCTGACAAGCAGCGCCTTCTGGGCATTTTATTGAGCCCTGGGGAGAGACCTTCAGGGTCAGCTGGGAAGCTGGACCTCAGAGTCCCTGGCTGGTCCCTCACCAGCTGACCTCAGGGGTGCACCTGCACGATGGGCAGGTTGCCCGTGCGGCGCCGGGATGCAGCGCTGACAGCCAGATGGGGTGGGGGGTGGGGGCGGAGCCCACGGCTTGCCGAAGTGGATGGGACGCGGGTGGAGGTGGGAAGCGGAAGCGCCGCACAGGTACCTGGCCCCGCAGGGAGAAGAGCGGACACCGGGAGCCAGACGTCCGTTGTCGGAACCCGGAACCCACCTCAGCCCCGCGCCCCAGCGAAGGCAGCCGCCGCGCAGCGCAGCCGGATGGCTCAAAAGCATCTGCAGAGGTTTCCGGAGCCCTCGCTTCCTGCCCGCCCGCGGGGTCCGAGAGCTAGAAGGGGAAAGGACGGCTCCGCGGCCGCGGCGCAGGGGGGAAACTGAGACTGCGCGGCCCCTGCTCCCCCGGCCGCCCGCGCTCTCACCGTTGGGGCCATAGCGCTCCCGCGCGCCGGTCACCTGCGCGGGGCTCAGGCCCACCTCGGCAGTCACCGAGAAGCGGCGCAGCACGTCCGCAGCCGGGAGCAGGTGCGCCGCCTCCATGCCGCCCACTCGGCCTTCTGCGCCGTGGGCACCGTCGAGGCAGCCTCTTCGCGGGGCTACTGCGCCGCGCGTGGGAGGCTCGGGCCCGGGAGAGCGCCACGCAAGGCCATGTCCGCGCTGGAACCTTCCCCGACGGCAGTGGCGGCGGCGGCCAGGCCCGCGCCAGGATGCTGCGCCCCGGGCTCCCTCCCTGGGGCGGGGCGGCGCGGGGCCCGCCCCCGCACTCCCCTTCCGGCCGCCCTCGGAGCCCGCCGCCCCGCCCCCGCAGCGCCCCGGGGCGCAGAGGCCAGCCGCAGGCCCATTCTGCAGACGAGGAAACTGAGGTCGCCTGCGGGAGCGTGCTGAGCGTGGGGGAGCCCAGGGCGCGTGGCTCGGAGGGACGTCAGCCCGGGTCTGCAGAGCTCGGGAGGCCCCGAGGGCCAAGAGCTGCCACAGGCTGCAGAGTGCGGGTCTCTGAGCCCTTTCAAGCCCTCCTGGGTCCTGGGAAGTTGCAAAATGGAGGTGTCCATAGAAGAGCTTCCTGCCCCCCTACACCCAATTATGCAAAGGGTGACCCTGGTCTAGAGGGAACCCAAAAGCCTGTGGATAAGCGCGTCTCCTCCGGTGCAGGTAACTTGATATTTCCTTCTTTTGATATTTGTGCTTTCTTTATCTTTTCCAAATGTCCAGTGAGCCGTTGGTTATTCTTCAAACAACCAGGCGTCTACTAAGGAAACAGTATATGAGAAAGTGAACCAGTCTTGTTTCCTTAGACTCACCCTCACCCCAGCAGGAAATGTTAACTGCTGGGTGGGGGTGGGGCTCCCTAGAGGCCCAGCCAGGGCCCCTAGGGATTGTGACCTTGGCTCAGGGAGTGGGAGGGCCCCTCAGTGAGGGACTCAGAGCTCCTGGGCTCCAGCAGCTCCCGGGTGGCAGGAGAGGGGCTGAAGGTCAGGGAAGGGAATTGCAGAAAGGCAGGAAGCACTCACCCCACCAAAAGGAAGAGCAGAGGGTACAGTCTGCTTGGTACCCTTTCTAGCTTGAGAGACACCGCTGGTCTCACCCCACCTGCCATCTTATTCCCCACCAAGCTGGTCTCTGCTGTCCAGAGCTTCAGCCTCTGCCATGTACCTTCGCCTCACAGGTTCATAGATTCGAGGGTTGAGCCCACTCAGATGTCTGTTCAAACCCCAACCCATACAGGGCGTCTGCAGCCAGAAAGCCCTCCCAGATCCTACAACTCCACTCACACATCCCTCCCCCAACATACAACAGCCCCAGCTTCCAGCCTAGAAGTGGGCTGCTGAGTCCTGCTGAGACCCCGTGTAACCCCCAGCTCCTGATCTCCTCCCAGGACAGGGCGGTGGTCCCCTCCCCTGTCTCCCCCGCACTATGTCTCCTTGAGCCTAGAGACAGTCAGTGAGGACTGGTTGGACCAAATGGTCCAGCCCATCACTGCTTTATCTACACCTGGACAAACAGCCAGGGGCCAGGGGGACATACCACAGGTATGCTGTCCAAAGGGTACAGGCTGGTCCTCCCCATCCCCCAGCTGCCATGGATTGAGAGCTCCAGGCCTGGCACCCAGTCCCAGCTCTTTCTGGCTCCCCAAAAGGACGGTTGGTGGCAAAACTTATCACCTCTCTAGCAGTGGGTCTACCAGCCACACTTGAGGGGGCCAGGATGAGGGAAAGGTAGGTCTTCCCTGAAAGGATTTGGATATATGAAGTGGGTGTTTCAGGCAGAAAAAAAAAAAAAAAACACGAATTGAAAGTGGGAAACCTCAGCCAAGTGCTGAGGGCAGTGATTCAGTCCCTCAGCATGGCTAGATCATGGGGATCAGGAGGATAGACCAGAGAGAGAGCGCTTGGACATGAAAATGTTGGCTGCCCACATAATGGCCTGGATTTTGTCTTAAAGACTTTTTAAGCAATGAAGAGATGGGGTCAGATTTGCCTTCTAGAAAAGCTTCTCCCTGAAGCCTTTGAAGGAGAGAACAGAGGCTGAGAAGCCCCCACAGTTATCCCAAAGAAAAATGAGGAGTTCTGGACAAAGATACAGTGGGGCTGCAATGGACAGGACCTGGTAAAGGACTAGATTTGGGGGTGAAAGAAGTGAGGAGTCACAGCTAACTCCCAAGATCCTGGCTGTAGTAGTTGGGTGAGAGGTTTAGCCCTGAGGTGGGGGAACAGCAGGATGAGGTGGGGAGGAGTTAAGGCTTACATCTGGAGCGGAGTCGAGTGTGAGGGGCCTGAGGGACTCCAGGTGGACGTGTCTAAGGGCAGCTGTATGCTTAGGGCTGAAGAGGGATACCTGGGAGGCAGCCTGGGCTGCCCATGTAATCCCTCACCCTAGCTGGGTGCACGTGGAGGGACCTTGATGGAGGAGTTGCTCAGTCATAGGACAGTGAGCTGAGCCATCAGAGTCTCTCATGAGAATTTAAGGATTGAGCCAGAGATGATGTAGGGATGGCCATGGGTGCTCGGCCCAGAGTTAGAGGGCCAGAGGTAACATCATCTGAGTATAGCAGTGGGAGAGCAGAGGGGAAAACCAGGGGCACATGAAGCAAGAAATGGAGACAAGATACCGTGTGGTGCCAAGAGAGAGAAATAGAGGCAGGGACAGAGACTGCCCAGTGGCACCCAAGTTCCTCAGAGCCTCTACTGTACTTTTGTCCTTGGCTCTCCCAGACTGCACAGGGCACAGTTCTGTGCCCTTCCCATACACCTGCCTTTTTTCATTACAGTTTGAGCAGGTTTCTGTCTTTCGTAGTCAAGGCACTGAACTAGAAAAAGTCAGAGAGGCCCAGCTCTGAACCTGGGTTCTGCCTCTTAACCGGCAGGGTGGTCTCGGACAAGGCACTTTATCCTCTGAACCCCACCTTACTCATCTGTAATTATTAGTTAGGGCAAGCCAGCTACTCTAACAAGGTCACCCAAAAATATCTAAGGACTTAAACATCACAGGACTTTACTTCTAGGTCAATGAAGTCCAGGTAGGTGTTCTAGTTGGTGGGGTGGTAATACTGAGACCCAGGCTCCTTCTGTTTTGTGGCTCTGCCATCTTCAGCATGGTTCCAAGAGGTTAGTACACTTGTGAGCATCGAGTCACTGGAAAGAGAGCATGGAGACGGTGGCCGTCTGGAGATGAGCCAGTCCAGGAGGCAATAACATCATTTCCCCTCAAATTCCATCGGTTAGGATTCAGTCATATGGCCATATAACTGCAAAGAAAGCTGGGAAATGTAGTCTAGCTGTGCCCAGAAAGAAAACGATGCAGGTTTGGTGAACAAGTAGTCTTAGCCATATGTGGAGATGATAGCTGCCCGCTCCCAGGGTTGATGAAGCCGGTCGCACAGGCAGTATCTATCTTCTGTTTGGTGTCTTTATGAGACTCTTCCCTGCCCCTCCTCAATTCTTGTGGTATCTTTAGAACTGATCCCATTAGATCCAGGGGTGGGCATATGACTCTTTCCTAGATAGTAAGGTCTACAACTCCCTACCCATGGAGCTTGATTGGTTTAGGATGAACATGTGACCAGAAGTCAGCCAACCAGAGCCATCAACTTGGCTATTTGTTAGAATGTTGGGGAAAATATTTTTATTATTCTCTCCCTTAAGTGATGGTGAACCTGGTGCAATGTAAGCTGGATGCTGCTGGCAGCCATCTTGCCACCATGAGGGTAGAATTTAGCTGCCAATGAAGAAAAGCAAAGAAAAGCAGGAAGAGGTAGAAAGGCAGATTGCTGATGACCTCTGTTTGAAATCAGTTCATCCCTAGTTCTTTCAGTTATGTGAGTCAGTAAATTCCCTTTTCAGTGGGGCTTCTACCCTTTGAAAATCAAAGAGTTGGGCCTTTAAGAGCTGTTGCAGGAACTAACTGATGGCTGTTGGTAAAGCGTAGTATCTAGAAGTAGCACATGTTCAATAAATAGTTTCTGGTGTTATTTTTATTATTATGAGAATGGGGCAGGGATTGGCAGTGGAGGTTAAGAAGGAGCAGCCAGAGAAGGGGGTGAAGAGCATGGGGCCAAGAAAGGAAGGTTTCCTAGATGTCGCTGCTCTGGGCCTTGTCCTGGAGCCCCTTTGGCTGGGGCTAGGTCTGTACCCCAGCACCCTGATTTGCCTCGGGTCTGCCACCTGAATTGAGCACTCACCATGTGACAAGCCCTGTGCTAAATTGTTTTCAAGCATCATTTCATTTAATCCTCACCATACCATGGGTATATGTACAGTACTATTATTATCCTCATGCAGGGCCAGCTTCATGGGCATGCACACTCTGCTGCCACACAGAGCCTGTGGTCAGTAGGCATGTGTGCTTGCTTTAACACTCTGCTATCACTGTCTTGAAATTCTTAATAATTTTATCTCTGAACTTGTGCTTTGTAAGTGAAGACAGTGGAGCCTGGTGTGAGCAGAGAGGACGTGCATCATATGCCGCCCATTTCAAACACAGCCCGCCATGCTCTGTGAACACAGATTCCTGGGGCCTGGTGAGGCATGGATTGTGAGACTCAAATCAAGTATAGGGTAAGGGTGTGACGTCCACAGCTGAGTGGGGCTGCTGCAGCCCTGAGAGGTTGCCTCAAATGCAGAAAAAAGACAATAGTTCTAAGAAACACAAAGGGTCTGCAAACCCTACCATACCTTTCTTACTCCCATTATTCCCAGCATTCACCAACCACTTATGTTAAAAAAACAATATCCCAGAAGGAAAGGGAAAGATAGGGCAGCCAGCATTTCCCTTCTTTTCAGTTCATCCTTACTCATCAATAAACCCAAGGTAGAGAGGGGGTCAGAAAGTGCACAGATCAAGAATTAAAGCACTGAGCTAGTGTTGTGCAGCATTCCCACCATTGTACTCAAGGCGCGCAGCTTATATATGCACGTTCCAAATATGTAAGTTAAAATTTGTATAACTAGTGATCACACACGTGTGCAATGCCCTTAATTTTGCATTTAAAACTGGCATCGCACAACATAAAATGAGCAGCAAAATACATGCTAACAGTTTAAATTTTGAATTTTTCCTTACTTAGAAGACTAAAGAACAAATTAAAAAAACATCCTGCCCAGTAGAGACTGCAAAGAAAGAAACAGCTTTGTATTTTAGTACCCTTAATGGTAGTTTTTTTCCCCTCTTTCTTAGACAGAGGCCCTATATTTTCATTTTGTATTGGGCCCTGCAAATCATGCAGCCAGCC